TGATGCAGCTGTCGTTGTGGGATGCAGCGTCGTAGATGCACAACTCACTCGATCGTTTCGCTGTTTCACTCTCATGTTCGTTTTCACATGAAAGTTGCAAGAAAGACCTTGTGAGGCCCTTGAGATGTTGAGAGTAAGAGAGCTTGAAGCATATCATGCTACATGGTTCATCATTGCTTTCAACGTTGCCTTGATGAGATTCATGGGAATCTTTTTGAGAGCATGAAAGAAATCTTGAAATGCTTCTTCTTGTGCGGTATGTGACAAACGCTTGTCTGAAGCCATGCAACTTTTAATCCTCCAACAAATCCCTCCAAACTTAGCCATTACCGCGTTCAACGCGCGTCTTAAAAAACCCCAGGTTGTAACTTCAACGATGTCATCTGAATATTCGCTTCTCTCATATTCTCTCTCACATCTCTTGTCTCACATCTCTTTCTCTCACATCAGAACCGGAAGGTCTCGTATCCGCGTCATGTACTCTTCGCATTCTTGCTCGCTTGTCTTGACATCAGGACAAGACACGATGAGCTTGTCTTCGCTGCGGGGGATCGTGTCTTGCAGAACAACTTCGTCAACAAGGGTTTTCTTCTGTCGCGGGGAGGCTACACAATCTGAGCTCCTCCTCCTGTTTGATTTCACCTGCTGCAGAGAATGACATTCATGGCAAGTCGTTGTCACGCCGTGCCCAGACGCCTTAGGGTTGAATATTTCGTGCAGGCAGTAACCGACGATAGCACACGTTCCGTGATTGCAGCACTTATTTGGGCCCATGTTTGATTTCCTCTGTTTGTCCATGCAGATGAGGACTGAGGCAACGTTCAGACAATGAAGGGAGGCAATGTTTCAGCGTCTTGTCGGAGGGCCTTTCCTTCGAATGATGTGCTCTTTGCTTCTGAGTTTCGCTCCCTTCTCCTTGTACTCCTCAGTAGAACACGCTCTTCCTCTTGTTCTGTACAGCAAGCTCTCGTATCGTCTTCGTCTTCCACTTGTTCTTCTTCCTCTTCTTCTTCCTCCTCTTCTTCTCTTTCTCCACTCCGTTCGGTTGCCTTTGGATTTCCTCGCCCCCACGGGTTTGCCTCCAGATCTAGCTCCTGCATATCTTGAGATCCTTAGTTTCAAAGTTCTCGAGTTAATTTCAACTATTTCGATCAATTTTGGGAAGCTTGAATTCGACCTCAGTTTGGATAAAAACACGAAAAAATGTGATTTCGATTTAATTTCTCAGCCTAGTCTCATTTGTATCTATCGCTGAGCGGGGTTGCATCAAGTACCGGTGCGAACAAGCCTTCTTCGAGGGGTACTCATTAGGGTCATCAAGGATAATTTGAGGCGGACTCGGGAGACTAGGTTCAGAAATCAAGTCAGCGAAATGTAGTCCTAATTGAAGCATCGCTGCCTTACTTCATGGTCACGAGGCCTCCGGCATGGACTCAGTCAAGGCTGACAGGCTCGGATGACTCCAGTTAAGACCTCGAGGCGTTCGGGACATGACGAGGATGCGCCGGGGGCCGCCGGCCCTGAGCCGCGCCCGTACTATCATCTCAAAGTTAACTAACATCAGTAGTAAGATAGTGATGCACTTTGAGTAAAACTATACACGGCGTTAGTATGATTAAAGAGTGTGAGTGACGCGGGGGCAGGACTGGCTGACTCACCCGGCCGGGGCCGGGGGGCCGCACGGAGGCTCCGGGAGGCTACGTGTCACAAGAAAGCTGTCACACGGCATCATGGGGGAAACTTCATCCGATGGCATCGGTCTTTTACTCAAAGTAGTAAGGCGGCGGCTGGGCCGAAACGTTGAACGGCCCGGGCCCGGGCCGGCGCGCGGTCCGCGGCGAGGAGCGGCGCACCGTAGTATGCCTGGACTCCGGGATCTGACACGGACCACCGTCGCTACACGCGGCCCCGGCTGAAATTTGAATTTAAAATCATGGTATGACTAAATAAAGTTCGTGACTGAGGCGTGTCGAATTACTCCACCCCCCTGCATCACCACCAAACTACCGGTCCTTATCACATGGCAAGTCACATCTGTCATTCAGTTCAAATGAAAACTTTTGTCACCAGGGTAGGGTCCTCTGTCTACCCCTCCAAAGCAGGTGTGAAACACCCGTGTGACATCATGGGTGACCCTACCGTGGTTGGGGCCATTTGAAGTCAAAAGATGTTGCGCCTGACGGCAGGAAATGCACAGCACGGACGGTGAGGGAGGATGGAGAGGAAGGGAGAGGAGAGAGGATACGGCAAGACAGGACGGAGAGAAGAAAGTCTGAGATCACCTGCCGGACGGCTCTGTGGGACAGCTCACTGACTGCAAGGAGGTATGAGGGCCATGGCGGACTGGAGCGTGGAGCAAGACCGAATCGCTGTGCTAGAGCGTTCGATAGAGGAGCTCGAGGGGAGCGGCAGCGTCCAGTCACAAGACAGGCTGCAGCTCCTGGAAACGAGGCTCAATCGTATGGACTCAAGCTCCACCATGGTTGTTTCGACCACCCCCCCTATGTTCCAGGTCGATGGGGAAAGGCCTTCTTGGATGAGTCTGTGGCCAGCACCAGTGACAAGAACAGGCGGCAGTCAGAGGTCACCGGCTAAGATCTGCCGCCTGCCTCGAGTGGAAGACTGCAACCCTGCCGTCGAGAGCTCTCCCAGCACAGAGCCCGGCTACTCAGCTCAGGCTTCGACCAAACCTCAACCGGCTGCCGAAAGCCCATCTCGCGTCTTGATGTCGAGGGCAGAGAAGAGGATGGAGAGCCCGGCCAGATCAATGGCAAACTTGTCGCCAGAGTCACCCCAACCTCCCTCGGGCTTTGCTCAAGAGAAAGGGACTTCGAAGATCCTCCGTCAGGTTACAGGGAAGGTCCCGCCAGCTCAGTCTCTCCATTCAACATCTTCGGAGGTTCGACCGGCTGAGTTGAGCATTCTGGAGCAGGTGGAGATGGAGGTCAGTGATTGACTCCTGTTGCATTCTGGGCTGATTTGCTCTCTCAGTCAGTATCGAATGGAGACAGGTTCAGGAACGCAAATTTCCATCAGATGTAATTGCTCAAGTTATACCTTTTATTCACTCACACTCTACATAGCCGAGAAAAGTTCGAGCAAGTCTATCCTTTGAACGGGAATGTGAGTGCGGCAGATATAGCTGCTGGTGATTGAGAAGCATCGACTAGTCTACTTGTCTAACCTTTGTCATGCAATACCTGGAAGATGAAGAGCTTTTGATGCAAACTATCGATTTCTCGACCCCATACAGAGAGCATATAGATCAGGCAAGGATTGTCTGCTACAAGATGTATGATTGACGTGTCTTGTTGAAGGAAAACTTCACCTTCACAGACTCAACCCACCATGAGTTTGTTCAGGGGAGCGATTTCATCTACCAAGGTCTAGTGTGCCCCTTGCTATTCCACGTGCTTACCGACGGCCATCCATGACAGGTGCGGTCTACTCGATGCCGAAGAACGACTACAGCCCGCAGCGGAAGGAGGAAGAGCGTGAAGGGTGAACTGCTACGAACTGTTCCTCTCCCTCCTCACTCTGCTCCAGCCATGTCCACACGAACGTCTCCCACGGAAATTTCTCCTGGTCGAAGCTGGAGGTTGATCAGGAATGTGTTGGTCGTTGGTGGTGACGCACGAGACAGAAGAGCGGACTGCCGGATACATTCTCAACGTTGAGAGAAGAAGATCGACGCAGTTCGACTCCCTTTGTCATGGTGAGATGCTTTGATAAAACTCCTTCACACCTGCCCGGACCTCTACTCCCCTTCAGCTCGACCCGACTCTTGTAACTTGTTCCTTGGCAGACCCTCGAACAGGACTATGACAATTTCATTCCAGAATCCGAGAGAGATCTGGTTTGACGTCGTTGAAAGTGTGCGGGCAATCTTGTGACTTTTTCATGTCAGAGGATCCTCAAGAAGAAGATTTCTTTCATGATCGCCAACGCCCTCGGAATTGAGTCAGACAGGTTGCAACTGATCTGCAACGTGTAAAGAATGATCGCACTGGCTAGAGTTGAGATCGTCGAGTTTGTTTCCGGCTCAGTGGAAGTCAAAGGAGTTCTTTACCACGGTACTTGAATGTTGTTTCCTCGAGACGTTGACTGTTGCGACTGCCAGCTGTCAGCGATGTCAAGGGTGAAGAGGCCCAGCTGCAGCTCGAGAGGCTGAGGTCGCTGGTGACAGCAGCCGTTTGACTAGTTTGACACGAGCTGACGACTGTGACTAGATCGATCTGAGGTCGACGACCCTCTCGTCGCATCTCAACGCAGGTGACTCCTCGCGTTCAGCCTTGACTTGTTGTCACTCTCATCGCAGTCTCCATCTCCTTCACCAGCAGTACCCCCTACTATCCCTTCAGGGTGAACCCCTCGTGCCTCCTCCTGCACACTTGTGACCTTGTGACAGGACAACGTGCCCTCCGAACCATACGCGAGGCCTCAGGGTTGAAACTTGCTTCTACTTCCATCATCCTTCTATCCCTTTCCTTCCCTCTCAACTTGAATGCCCTTCCCTCTCCCTCCTCCTCCCCCTCTCCCTCCCCACCTCCTCCTCCATCTCCCCCTGCCATTCCCTCTCCCTCACCACTCTCTCGCTATCTCGCAGATCCTCCTCCACGCTCTCCGGTCGGCCCTCCTGGAGTCAAAGAGTCGCAGAGGCCGCAGGGCCTGCTGGAAGTCTTCATCCTCCGAGCCTCTGCCCTCCCCACCCAAGAATGGACCAAGGCTGTCTGCGTCGTTGAGCTCGAGTCCAGCTCGAGGGCCCAGGGGTTTGACAAGTGGAGGAGCGGCAAGCTGGGAGACAACCGTCGGTCTGAAATTCTCTCCTCCCTCGACGCCTTCATCAGTCAGCGGTACCAGAGGCTCCACGGGACCAACGACGGGTATCGCCTTCTGCACCTCATACTCCCTCCTCTTCCTCTCCTCTCCACAGCCCTCCCTCGCCCTCCAATCTTCCTCCCCCTTCCCCCCCAACACATCTCTCCTCTCTCCTCTCTCCCCTCTCCTCTCTCCCCTCTCCTCTCTCCTCTCTCCTCTCTCCTCTCTCCTCTCTCCCGCTCTGCCTCCTCATCCTGTCTCAGTGAAGCACTCCTGTCCTCGCTCCTCCCCTTGCTATGCTCACAAGAGCCCAGGGAGCCTCCTGCATGGATGGCGGGCCGGCACGACGACTCGGACTTTCACTGGCAGGACGTGGCAGGTCACCAGACGTTCCGCACCTGCGTGAGAGGAGGAGACGCGAGCCCCAAGTGGAGCAGCGCGTGCAGGTTTGCCGTGCTGGGCAAGCGAACCGACCGGCTCCGCCTGCAGGTCCTGCACCTCGGGTCAGCTGGATCCGAGCTGGTAGGGATGGTGACGATCGAGGCTCGAGAGTGGAGGGAGGAAGGAGGGGGGAAGGAGAAGCAGGAGGAGGCAGAGACAGCACCTGAAGTTCTCACGTTCCACGATGGTCTGAAGAGGAACGAGCGGGTCGTTTGCAAGGCATATCCCCTCCGGAGCATCACAGGCGAGAGGATTGAGGATGGGAGCGGAAAGGAGAGCATCCTCTACGTGGGGCTGAGGTGGACGGAGGAGGTGAGCAAGCAGCTGGTCCCTTGCGAGGGGACGCTGCAGGAGCTGGTTAAGGGGGAAGGGAAGGAGGCGATGGCGTGGAGGATGAGGTTCTACCAGCTCGATCCCTTCACGCAGGTCCTGTGGAGGAGGGACGGAGAGCAGAGCGAGCAGCTCAAGATCCGAAATGCTGAGATCAAGAGCGGCGGCAGGAGGGACGACAAGCTTCTCTTCGAGATCTGCACGCGGGTGAGCCCGATCTCCTTCCTCTCTGCTCCTCCCTCTCTCCCCCTTCCTCTCTCCTCCTTCCCTGCTCTTCTCCAGCTGAACCTGGCCCCGCCTCTAGAGCTCGTCCGTCAAGCTCGGGGCCGAGACGGAGGAGGACAGAACTCGGTGGGTTGAGAGTCTGCGAGCGAGCTCGGGGCTGCCGTACAGGAGCCGCGGGCTGAGGAACTTCATGCTCGCCCTTGCTCTCCTCGTCCTTCTCCTCGCCGGGGGCGGCGTCGGGATCGGGATCGTCGCATGGAAGAACGCGCATCGGCCTCAGGTCCCTTCCTACATGCGATGGGAGAGCTGTAAAGGCGGCGACTGCGAGGCCTGCGCTTGTTTCCAGCGCTGCTTGTTCGGCAGCACCCTCGGCCTTCAGGCGTCTCTTGGTACCGCTCCCCACAACTGCTCCTCCTCCTGCTCCTGCTCGCTGCGAGCGCCGTACAGCGGGTGCGGCAACGGAGTGCTGCAGGCAAGGAGCACGGTGAGGTGGTTCGGGGAGGACGTCTTCTTCACGGAGGAGTGCGATGACGGGAACGTGGTGAGCGGAGACGGATGCAGCAGCAGCTGCAAGATCGAGAGCTTCATGAAGACGGAGGCGTACGGGTTGCGGGTGGCAGGAGCATCGGCAGCAGCCAAGTCTCTGTGCGGCCGCAACAACCACACGCTGAGTGTGTGCGAGGAAGCGTGCTTGAGGTCCAGCAGCTGCGGGTGCATGTGGTTCGGAGACGGCTACTGCCACCTCTACGCTGCCTGCAATACATCCCGCATCCCCGCACTCTCTGACATCGAGGGAACTTGGGTGGGTTGATGTTGACTTCCTCCTCCTCTTCGTTCTCTTCCTCCTCCTCCTGCTCTCTCCCACTGCCTTCTCTACACTCTCTCAACGTGCTTCTTCCCTCCTCCTCTCTCGTACGCTGCCCTGACGTCTTCGCAATCACCAGGACGAGGTCGAGTTTCAGTGTGGCCTCAACAACTTCGTGGTGGACCAGCAGCGCGTGGAGATCAGGAGCGAGGTCGCGCTGTTCGGCTACAGCTCCCTCTCCTCCGACCAGCTCCAGACTTTCAAGCAGAGTTTCAGTCAGTACTGCTCAGCTCCTTGTAGGATCACCGTCCTCTCAGTCACTGCCGGCGCCACCACTGTCGTGCGCCGGGAGCAGCAGGCGCGTCAGGCGACCTCGGACAAGCTCGTTGTCGTGGCCTTCAAGTTCACGGCCTCTGCCTCCTCCTCCTCCTCTCTGGTGACCTCTCTGACCTCCTACCTCAACCTCGGAGACAGTGGCTTGCTTGGCTCCCTCAAGCAGCTCGGCCTCTCGAGCCTCACCGGCGTCACGGTCAGACCAGCTGGACTCCCCCAGCTCTTTCCCAGCCCGGCGCCTCCCAACTCGACGGGGACTCTCTACAAGAAGGAGCCGTATCACTGCACCACCCACAACCTGGTGGGCAACTGTTGGGCTTTTCCACCTCCCCTGAGCTGCTGGAGCAGGTGGGGGAGAATCAATATGACAACACGAGCCTCTGCTGCGGCAACCGATCTGAGGTGAGGCCCTGTTCCCTTCACTGCCTCCCTCCTGCTCTTGCCCTCCCTGCCCCCTAGAACCACTTCCTCTTTTTTCCTTCCGATCCTCCATTTCCCTCCTGCACCCATCCATTCCCTCAAGCTTCCTCAATTGTACCTCCTCCTCCTCCTCTCCTCCTCCTTCTCCTCCTCTTCTTGTCCTCCTCTCCTCCTCGTCCTCTTCCTGTCCTCCTCTCTTCCTCTCTCCCTCCTCCTCTTCCTGTCCTCCTCTCCTCCTCCTCCTTCCCTCCCCCTCCTTGATTCTCCTCAGGTTTGTCAGCCCGTTGGTCGATGCTACGTCTCCCTCGAAAGAAACTTTGAGTGCGTTCCCAACGCCCTTCCCTATCAGCCAACAGTAAGTAGCTCCGCTCCCTCTTCTCCTTCCCTCCTCCTTCCATCCCTTGCACTCGCTCCTCCCCCCTCTCTCCCCTCCCTCCCTTCCTCCCCCTTTCCTTTATTCCCCCCCCTCTCCTGGTGTTGATCTCCTCCTCTCAGGAGTTGTCCCTGGTGCCGTGGGATCAGCGCGTCAAAGTCTACTGGAAGGCTCCGGCTGACACAGGAGGCTTACCGATCCTCGAGTACAAGATTGACAAGGCAAGACACCCTCGGCCCCATCCCTCCTCCCCTCTCCCCTCCCCTCCTCTCCTCTCCTCTCCCCTCCCCTCCCCTCCTCTCCTCTCCTCTCCTCTCCTCTCCTCTCCTCTCCATCCTTCTTTCGCTCCTTCACTTCCTGACCTCCCGCTCCTCCTCACTCCTGCGCAGGCTCCTTTCATCGAGGGCAACTCGCAGTGGGATGGTCAGCCTTTCTTCTCTCCCGGCGCCTCCACCTCAGTCTGCGTCACTCGGCTGACCAACTTCATCCCCTGGTACTTCAGAGTCTCAGCGAGGAACAAGCTCGGCTACGGCTCCTTCTCCTCCCTCACCCGAGACAGCATGCCTTGGGTCGCTGCCTCCGATCCTCCCACCTCCCTCATCGCTCATGCCGGCAACCGCCAAGTCTGGCTCTCCTGGACGGCTCCTGCCTTCGATGGCGGGCGACCCATCGCGAGCTACGCGGTGGAGATCGCGCACGACCTGGACTCTTCGCTCCTCTGCGGGGACCCTCACGGCTGCTCCAGCACTTCCGTGCCCTGGGGCAGGAAAGATCCTCGTCCTGTCGCTGCTTCTTTCACATGGCAGCAGGTCCCCTCGGAGGGTCTTGCCTATGGTTCGGTCCCCCCCGACAGAACTTACCCCATCTCCTCCTCCTCTCCGCAGCAGGACTCCCTCCTGGTCAAGACGCGAGCGGAGGACGTGCCGAACTGCCATCTCCCTCCTCCTCCTGTCGTCCTGACGACCTTCCTAGTCAAGACTGATGCTCAGGGGAACCCACTGATGAACAACTACAAGTATCACTTCCGGATTAGAGCATACAACAACTTCCAGCTATCTCTTCCCAGCACCAACCTCTCCCTCTTCCCCGTCGGCCGCGTCCCCTACCAGGTCCAGGGCTTCAACGCCTCCTGCTACGAGTCGCGGGAGTGGACCAGCTGCACCGTCGGGTACTCAGGGGACACGCGCATCCCCATCACCTGGAACCCTCCCGCCGACGACGGAGGGATGGACGTGACAGGCTACCACGTCGAGTACTCGCTCGATGCAGGCGCGACATGGACGGAGCACGTGGCGCAGTCGAAGCAGGATGCAAGGACGACCTCGTACATGCTACCCTGCATGCTGAACGACAAACCCTACCTCCTCCGCGTCAGAGCCATCAACCTGTATGGGGAAGGAGACCCGTCGGTCATCGGGCCCGTCACTCCCCGCTGGTGTCCCCACATGCAGGCCTGCGGGGTGTGTCTCGAGCCCAACTACGAGCTTTGGGGAGGCTGCTCGCTCCCTGCCTGCTCGTCAGCGAGGTCTGGATTGAACACCCGCTTCATCAACTGCACTGGAGGAGGATGCAGGTAAGAGACCACAGGGAGAGGAGGGAGAGGCAGGCGGAGGGGGACGGGAAGGCAGGGAGGGAGAGGGAGGAGGCGGGAGGTCCAGCAGCTGACTGGCATGTTCTACTCAGGGTGGAGGTGCTCCATGCAGGCGTGTGGGGAGGCGTGTCTGGTTTCTTCACCAACAGCAGCGGGGACGTTGCCTGTCACTCCCTCGGGCTCAGGCCGAGGCCTCAAGTTTGTGGGGGCCCCACCTGTGGGTCTGTCCAGCTCAGCTCCAGCTTCACTCACAAGAAGATCTGGCTGACGAACCTGTCCTGCTCTGGCTCCGAGGCCTCCCTCCTCGATTGCCCTTCCAACGTCACCATGGGCAACGTCACCGTCAGCGAGGTCGGAGATGAAAAGTTCGCGCTCTCCACGCAGGAGGGAAGCAGCTTCGAGGTATGCTGCTGGGACACCTCCGAGCTCTTCTCTACCATCAGCGTCCTTGACAGGCAGGGGGAGGAGCAGCAGCCAGACTTCTGCTGCCAAGTCGTGGGCTCCGACTGCCTCCCCGCAGGACGATGCTACTTCTCGAGCGAGCAGGGAGGGGCGTGCGTGTATGCTCGAGGGCCCTATCCTCCTCCCCTCGTGCAGGCGCTGCCCTGTGACAACGTCAATCTCTTGTGCGACGAGAAGGCGAACGTGGCCTGGGTGGCCCCTGAGGACACGGGAGGCTCTCCGATCACGGACTACATCATCTACGCCGCCTCTCCCCTCCCCAATGGCACCTACGAGGTTAAGGTAGCCCGCACAGGCTCCCTCAGCACCAACTACACGGTCGTGCCCGGCCTCGTCAACTTCGTCCCCTGGTTCTTCAAGGTCAGCGCCATCAGCAGGCTGGGCTACTTCGCTGGTTACGGACGGCAGAAGGTCCCGGTCCTCTCCGCTCCCTCCCCTGCCTTCGTCCCCTTCGTCCAGGAGCCTCTCCAGCCCGTCAACGGCAGAGCTCAGGCCGGGAACCGGCAGGTCTGGCTGGCCTGGGACCCTCCCTTGTGGAACGGGGGGCGAGCGATCTCAGGGTACACGCTGGAGATCCTAACGGCTGACGGGACATGGACAGACAAGATCCCCGGGCTCACTAACGGTGCTCCTCCTGACGGTCAGTATCCCATCGCGGCACAGACGAGGTCGGTGGCCGCTCTCAGCTCTACCCAACGACGCCTCCTCCTCTCTCAGACTTCAAACCTGGACCCTCTCTCCTCCACCTTCCACGTCACCAAAGATGCCTCGGGGGCTGAGCTCGCCAACGCTGCGAGCTACTCCTTCCGCCTGCTCGCGTACAGCACGTTCAACTCTTCCCTCCCCAGCGCCGTCATCATCGTCGACCCTGTTGGCACCGTCGCCTCCTCCCCTCTCAACTTCACTGCTGGTGCTGTAACTGGGTGGCAAGTTGGTAGGGGATCTGACTGCTTCTTCAGATTGTTACGAGGACGCGGGCAGGGGAGCTGCGAGCACGTGCACTACAGGGAGAGCGGAGGACACGAGGGTCACCATGCGGTGGTCGGAGTCCTCATACAACGGAGACATCAGCATTCTGAGTGAGAGATGGGAGGCAAGACATGTCTTGACGACACTCACTCTCTCTGCTTCAAGATTACACGCTCGAGTACTCCACAGACGGAGGGACGACATGGACAGGAGCAGTGCAGTTAGCTGTCACGAGGTATGTACAGGCTTCTCCATCGTCTTGTCTTATCGTCTCGTCGCCTCGCAGCTCCGGGAGCTACACGTATGTCTACGAGGGCCTTACAAACGACCAGGCGTACATGTTCCGAGTCAGAGCTGTCAACTTCTACGGCTTCAGCGCCCCAGCTGTGATCGGTCCGGTGAGGATGGGGCGAGAGCTCGCGGGTCAAGCTTGACGTCCTCGTCCAGCTGACCCCCAAGTACTGCCCCAACCTGGTGGAGTGCGGGGTGTGTGTGCTGGCAGCGTACAGCGTGTGGTATGGATCTGTTGCTGCATGGCTTGCGTGACGTACGGCAGGGGAGGCTGCACCATGCCTTCCTGCATCCTGCAGGACACGGAAGTGAGCGACACGCGCATGGTGTCATGCGCTGAAGGCCACGGCTGCTTGTCTTGCTCAGCTGGCCGGCAGCTGGAGTCGCTGACAGGGTCGCAGGCTTGAGATTCTTCACGACTCTAAGTGGGGCACCATCACCGGCGCCACCTCGCAAGGGACTGGCCTCGTAGCCTGCAATGCCCTGGGCTTGAGGGGGCGACCCAGCACTTGCTACGCTCCAGATGGAGTATGCGGGGCCATCACCACCCCCGCCACGTTCCCACCTGACGATGGCGTCATCGTGGTGGTACGGGGACCAGCTGGACTTGCTCTTCGTGACTCACTTGCGTCTAGTGGCTTGGGTCCGTCAGCTGCGTGGGGACCGAGGCGAAGGTACATGACTGCAGTGCTCGCACGTTGCCTGGGTATGAGCTGGTCGCGTCTACTCGCCGCATGTGACCGTCTTGTGGCAGGGGGTCGAAATGGACGGATGCTTTCTACAAGCTTCACTCAGACCAGCAAGACAAGGGGATCTGCTGTTGGCCTCCTCTACCTTAGAACCAAGACAAGGGGATCTGCTGTTGGCCTCCTCTACCTTAGAACCAAGACAAGGGGATCTGCTGTTGGCCTCCTCTACCTTAGAACCAAGACCAGGGGATCTGCTGTTGGCCTCCCCTACCTTGGAACCAAGACCAGGGGATCTGCTGTTGGCCTCCTCTACCTTAGAACCTCCCCGTCAGCCTTCCTGCCTGCAGCTCGAACAAGGAGGAAACATCCTGGGAGGATAGGTTTTGGGATTGAACGAGCAAATGACAGCATCAGACAACCTCATTGACTTCTTTTATTCATCATCATCAACTAGCATGTCTATAACATGTCTGTCATCCCTCAATGATTCATTCGCCAATCACTGCCGCCCGACAACATCCCCCTTACTGGCGTTGGGCTTAAGCGACGATCCCATATGAGAGTTTCTCTCATGAAGACCACCATGTCTGGTTTGTTTCCACTCCCCGTGCTGATGATCGTGCGTAACAGACCCCGACCCTCCGCCCTCTTGCTCGCCTCCGGCTGACCCTCAGGAAATGCTTCTGTGCGTGCGACCGTACTTGCGCTGGCGTCCGCGTCCCCAGCGCCTCTGCGATCTGCTTAGCCACGCCCGGCCCAAGCCCTACATGCACCAGCCCGTCTACCCGCACGGGCCTGTTCTCTTGCACGCCGTGCTGCTCGAGGAGCTCCAGGAAGACCTCGTGCTCCCGCACACTCCAGAAGCCTCCTGAGCCTGTCGGCCTGCGTTGGCTCTCCTGCCCATCTGTGTCCGAGCTCGGGTCGGTGAGGTCGTGGGGAGAGGGCGGCTGCTCGTCGGCAAGGGCATGTGCGGCGTCGGGGCAGGAGCTCGGACAAGCGTGGAGGCCGAGGAGCTCGGACAAGCGTGGAGGCCGAGGAGCTCGGACAAGCGTGGAGGCCGAGGAGCTCGTGGAGGCCGAGGAGCTCGGACAAGCGTGGAGGCCGAAGAGCTCGGACAAGCGTGGAGGCCGAGGAGCTCGGACAAGCGTGGAGGCCGAGGAGCTCGTGGAGGCCGAGGAGCTCGCAGCAAGGCAGTCCTGCTTGACGTCGTTACACAGAGGTCCTCAATTGAACGAGGCAGGCTCGGTTTAATCTGAGGCAGGCTCTTGCAAATGGTGACCGTCATGGCGCGCGTCGTGCTGATCTTGGCGGCGCTCGTTCGTCCCTCCCCAGCCCTCCCTCAGCTGGCAGTGAGCTTTGCGCCCCCACCTGGACTCTCGTTCCTTCTCTCTCCGTCCTCTCTGTGCCGAGCACGGAGGTGTCAGCCGTCACAGCTGCACTCGTTCCGCACCAGGTTGCGAGCAGGTCAGCGCAAAGTCGTCCAGTAGAGGTCTTGATGAGAAGAGGAGGGTGGAGTTGGCTCCTCTGATAGTCTTTGATTTCTTGATGATGATGATGATGATGATGATGATGATGATGACGGTGATGACACAGAGCTAAGAGATTCTGATGACGACATCTCCGCATGTACGCATTAGCTGATGGCACTGTGGGATGGGTTGACTTGATGGTTGGTAGATGGTGGAAACGCGACATCTTCAGGAAGAACGGTTGTCGTCTTCTCCTACGTCTCTCACTGATCACACTTGTCTGCTCTTAGGGGGTCCTGGGCAAAGTTGGCCTGGAGAAGGTAAAGTATGAGAGAAGTAGAGGGTGAATAACTCGTTGCGACCCAAGAGCGAGGGCCTGCCGCTGCCGCTGGTCTCATCCCGTCCCAGGTTGCCAGCGAGCAGACGCCCTGCCGCATGCGATCATTTGTGACTTGTCGTGTTAGGGACGGGAGGGACTCCATCCTCGAGCAGGAGAGAGGGATACTCGGGATCTTCGGGTTGTCAGCTGCAACAGTTGGTTTCCGATGCAAATGACGTCTGAGCGCAGAGAGGAGAGCGTGCTGAAGCAAGGGCTGGTGGGAGTAGCGTTGCTCTTCATCCTCTACCTCGTCATGTGAGCCGACGATCTGCGTCTTGTTGCCCTCCGCTGGTGTAGAAGTGAATGTTTGGCAGAGGACGAATGTATATCTCGTCTCCGATGAATCGTTATCAAGTGGTTGAAAGTGAAACTCCTGCTCCTTCTCTCCTCCTGCTCCTGACCATGTCCAGGATACGAGGATGCGTACATCTGCTACGGAATCCCTTCCCCCGACGATCCCACGGGGTCAGTGACTGCAGCGAAAGCCTCGTGACTCTTACTCGCAGGTGCCGGGACAGGAGGGATGTTGGACCAGTGAGAGTGATGGAGAGGAGGTGAGGGAGCGAGCAAGACTAGGATGTAGGTGAGAGGAGCATGTAGAGGCTGCTTCAGTCCAATGCTCTCTCTCTTTCGCTCTTGCACGTAATGATTTGTGATGTAAAAGTAGCAAGACGTTGCCCATCTGCAGTGAGGTAGGAAACATGAAGCACAAATCACACGCGAGTCTTCTTTGACCATCTTCCCTCATCCCTCATCTACATCTCCTATCAAGCTTCTTCTTCTCTCGCTTCTTTCTCCTCTCTCTCTCGCTTCCGCTTGTCTTGTTGGTTTTTATTCATCCTAGTAGTCCCGCCCCCTCCTCCCCTCCCCCCTCGCTCCTCCTCCTCCGCGCCCCCCCCGCTTCCCCTGCTCGCTCCCTCTCGCTGCTGCTACTGGGCTCCTGTAACCCCGTCGATCAGCAAGTTCACCTGCTCCTCCTACCGTTGCCTTGTGTTGCTGCTGCTGCTGCTGCTGCTGCTGCAGAGTGTCGCTCCTGGCCCTGGTCGTGTCCTGGTCCACTTGCCACCCTCGGATCTCTCCTCTCATCGAACTGCCTCGCCTGATCTCAACGTGTGACATCTTGTCCATCTGCGCTCTTTTCTCTCCTTCTCTCGTTCGACAACTGCCCCTCCTCCCTGCTCTCCTGCATGGAGTCCGAATTTCGACTTCCTGGGGAGGCAGATGGGAGGAGGGAGGTGGAGGATGCTGAGGAGAGCTGGACACGAGGAGACGATCTTGTGTCGAATGATGAAGAGATTAGAGACGAGGTAGCGAAGGAGGACGAGGAAGAGAAGGACGTCCTGCTGGTGAAGGGAACGTCTCGGTCCAAGGAACCAAGAAGCAACTCTGCGACAAGAAACTTGTTCAATGTCATAGGGAAACGAAGGAGGTGTTGGGCTCTTGTTGTTGTTGTTGTTGTTGTCGTCGTCGTCGTCGTCGTCGTTGCTGTCACGTACAACAACGTGATACGTGTCAAGAGCTGTGACACCGGTCGCTTCCTCGCATGCTCGAGCTCGTGGGAACTGACCATGTCGACTGCAGGATACTTCTGGGGTTATGCGATCAACGCAACCTCGTTCCTCAAGCGATGCGTCGCCTGTCCTGACGGCATGTGAGCATCCGCTACATCCTTCGCCTCTCTCCTCTCTCCTCTCTCCTCTCTCCTCTCTCCTCTCTCCTCTCTCCTCCCTTTTCCCTCCTCTCCCGACATCATTGCAGGACCTCCAAGTCGCTCTCGGTCGGACTAGAGAGCTGCTTCTGTGCCTCTGGCTTCTTCAACAACTCTCCCGCGTCTCCGACCTGCCTCGCGTGCGATCACGGACTCTGGGCTCCTGCCACAGCCAACGAGGGGAGGAGGAGCTGCCAGCCGTACAGCAGCTTCTGGAGGCTGGGGAAGATCGGAACCTCATGCAACGCGACCTGCCGGCAAGCTTCCTCCTGCTCCTGCTCCTGCTCCTGCTCCTGCTCCTGCTCCTGCTCCTGCTCCTGCTCCTGCTCCTGCCCCTGCTCCTTCCCTTGCTGTCGTTTTACTCTCACAAGAGTGCGCAGAGAGTCGGGGATGCTCTTCGACGACAACGGGCTGCGGCTATGGGAGGCGCCGCTGGGAGGTCGTCTGACCTTGCAACTGTTGGCCTACCAGCTGGGGATCTCCTGCACAGATCTGCTGCTGACCTCAGGGTATGACTTGCCGTCTCATGCCTGACTGACAGCCGCCGGTCTCAGGAGCGCAGGGCCGTACGCGTGCTCGCACGCTGACTGCAAGGGGCTGCAGGGGAAGTGTTTCTTTCCTCGCCCTCCCCTTCAAGGAGACGAGCTGTGGATCACCCCCAACATCACACGGCGAGTGTGCTCTTGCTACTAGTGCACACCTTCCTTTACGCCAAGGCAACACAACACTCCTGCTCCTACTCCTCCTCCTCCTCCTCAATTCCGCGGTCCTCCTCTCCGCCCAGCTTCCACATCCACGTACTGCAAACAATCGTTACGCCTTCGTCGTTCACTTTTCTAACAAGAACCTGAACTTGCTGACGCGGCTTCTGAGGAACGGCTCCTGGTTTCTGCTGTGGAAGGAGTGAGGGGAGAAGGAGAGGAGACGGCGATCGGGTACCTGAGCGGCAGGATGCGACAAGATCTCTCGTGGTACGTTCTGGTTGCTTTCCTACGAGGGCCGTGAGCAACAACGACGGGGGGGGAGGAGGGGGAGGTCGCCTGAAGCTTCTCCTTGAGGTCGTAGTAGATGTGCGTGTCTTCCGGGGTCAGGATCGTCGTCGCCACTCCCGATTTGCCTGCAGGGACACGATGAGGAGGTGGAGGAAAATGAGGAGACGGGGAGGAGGAGGAGGAGGAGGAGACAGGGAGGAAGAGAAAGTGGAGGAGATAGAGGAGGAGGAGGAGGAGGAGGAGGAGGAAAAAGAGGAGACAGGGAGAAGGAGGAGGAGGAGACAGGGAGGAGGAGATAGAGGAGGAGGAGCTCACCTGCTCGTCCTGTCCTTCCGATGCGATGCGTGTAGTCCTCGATGTTCTTGGGACAGTCGAAATTCACCACATGCTCCACCCCTGAGATGTCGATGCCGCGTCCAGCAACGTCCGTACAGACCATGATGTCGTAGTGGCCGCTCTTGAACGAGTCCAGCGCCTCCTCGCGTCCCTCCTGCGACTTGCCACCGTGCAGCAGAGTCACTCGATGGCCCCTGGAGCTCAGCTCCTTGTGAAGCACATCGCAGTTCTTGCGCGCGTTCACAAACACCATAATGGGAGGCTTTCCTCGCGCGAGGAGGTCGAGGAGGCGAGCGTTCTTCTGGTTCTCCGAGCAGAAGATGAAGTGCTGCTCGACTGTAGAAGCCGTCTGACCGGCTTCTCCTACCGTCACAAACGCCGGCCTCCTCAGGTACTTCCTCGTGATGCGCTCAATGGCGGGCGGCATGGTAGCAGAGAACATGAACGTCTGCCTGTACCTGAACTCTTGGTTTCCTTCCTCCGCAGCGTCGTCCTCGGGCTTGAGGTTGGAGCTTGGCATGGCGTCGAGGATCGCCTGCACCTGGGGCTCGAAGCCCATGTCGATCATGCGATCGGCCTCATCAAGCACGACATAGTTGCACTGGTTGAGCACTACCAGGCGTCTCTCCAAGCAGTCGATGAGACGTCCAGGAGTAGCGACGAGGATCTCTACTCCCTGCCTGACGGTGAAGCCCTGCTCCTCGATACTCTTGACGCCTCCTCCGCCCACCAGCGGGAAGCAGCGGATGTTCATGAACTTGCAGAACGTGATGGCCTCGTCGTAGATCTGGTTCGCCAGCTCGCGGGTGGGAGCGAGGATGAGCGCGAGAGGCCCTTCAGGCGCCGTGTCTTGAGTGATGGGCGGCTGCTTGGAGATGTAGACGAGCATGGGAAGCACGAAGGCGGCAGTCTTACCGGAGCCTGTCTGAGCGATGCCGACCACGTCCCTGTTGAGGAGGCCGAGAGGGATGCACTGCATTTGGATGGGAGAAGGAATCTTGTACTTCTTCTCCTTGATCGCCTCGAGGATCTCAGGCGGTAGTCCACTCTCCTCCCAGTTGCGGATGGGGTTGCAAGGTTTACCTCCTCGAGTTGCGATCTGAAAGTCTTCGCGGAAGATTCTCCAGTCTCTCTCCGTCATGTCCGTTAGCTTCTTGTCCATCCAATGCTTTCCTGGCAGCGCCATGTTCCTGTCCAGGCTCGCCTTGGCACGAGACGCGTACGCTTCCTTCATCTTCATCTTCATCTCCTCTTGATGCTTTCTGTACTCCTCTGCTTGCTCAGCATCGACATCTTCCTCTGCGATCTTGGCTCGCACCGCCTGGGAGCAACTTCAATCTTCGCATGTTGCAGACCCGCTCCAACTACCTCGAGGTTCTCAACGTATGTCGAATTCTTCTTTTGCTCACGCATGTCAATACCAGCGCGCAAACCGCGTCTAGGCAAGTGAGAGGCTAAAAGACAACAAACAAGCATGTACCCGAACAAAAGCTGCGCCTCGTGCTTCTTGTTGTAGAGAGGGTTCACGTCAGCTGAAGTGTCTTCCGTTGCCTCCCAGTCGAAGGCGAAACTACGAACGTCAAGTTCAGCGGAGCATACAACCAATTTCAACACTCACCGGAATTTGTCCGTCACCTTCACGACCTTCTTCTTGACCTTTGCTCCTCCTGATGAGAATTATCAAGGTTGCTTGCCACAATCAGAACCACTGCATGAATCACCTAGATATCTCTTCTGAACTTGTTCAAGCTCCTTCTGCGAGATCAGAGTTTCTGCATTCTATTGACAGAAATCATCAAGCATCCACATAGATAGATCCAAACTTGTACCTCGGCGTCTTTATCATCTTTGTTTTCTGCCTTTGCCTTCTCCCGCTCCCGCTCCCTCTCCCTCTCTCTCTCTCTGCGGTGAAGGTGAGGACAGCATCTCATCTCCTCACTTGAACCTTTCTCTGCCGTCTCTGTCTCTGTCACGGCGCAGCTGCTCCATCATCTTCTGCCTTTGAAGCATGGCTTCTTCAGCCTGGATCGCCCAGTGGTTGGTTGAAGGATGATGCACGAGAAGCAAACACCTTCTTCTTATGCTCTTCTCTCTCTTGTTCAAGTCTGAGTTAAACCGTGAGCACTCAAGATGTTGGATGCTTGTCCTTGACCTTTCCAATGCTAATTTCTGCCGCTGCTCTTTCGTCAAGAACACAGGTTTTGCAGAGTCCTGAGGGGTGGTGAGAGGGAGGAGAGCCATAGGGTTGTGAAACCTCTTTGCTCTTCTTCAGCTCTTGCAGCTTCTCCTCGATCGAAACTGGCTCTGCTTTCTTCTTGTTTTGCGAGGTGAGCTAGCATAGGAAAGTGTCAGCTCCAATGGTTGCGCTTCTAAATCATTACATCATACTCTCCCGCCAAGAGGGGGTTTTGTGCTTTTGGCGCGATTTGAACGCTGTTGTTGTGACGCCCATCATCAAGTCAAACATCTTTCAAACTTGTTCTGACCTCGGTTTTGAATCATCGTTCTTCTTGTTTTCATCCTGCACAAGGTTTAAAAGAGGTCGACAGGTCGAAGGGCGAGCTATACCTTCCTGGCAGCGCTCTGATTTGCTCGTTCGCGATCACTGAGAGTGGAAGAGTGAGTCACAATCATCGCATGAATAACACACACACCGTTCGCGATCTCTGTCTCTGTCCCTATTGCGATCGCTGCAACTCATGGTAAACCATAATATCGCTGCGGTCAAGATGAGTACCGGTCCCTGAAAGCGTTCAAGTCAGACTATACAGAATCTCAAATTCCTCATCTACCTGTCCCTGTCCCTGTCCCTGTCCCTGTCTCGATCCCTGGAAGAATTAGTCTCAGCTTCTCTTCTCCTCCTTCCCGAATACACATGAGTACCTGTTCCTGTCCCTGTCCCTGTCCCTGTCCCTGTCCCTGTCCCCCTGTCCCTGTCCCTGTCCCTGTCCCTGTCCCTGTCGCATCAGGCAGTCAGAAGCTTGGCAGAATTTTAATCGCAACATCACGCCCTACTGCAACTTCTTCTCTTCCTTCCTGACTTCTCTCACTTGGTAATGTATCAGATATTCCAATACTTCCAATACATGGCTTTGTCAGGCCCATCCCTTCATTCTATCTCTCGCTCTCGCTCTCTCATCTTGCTCCCTTTCTACTTCTTGCGCATCTATCATAAATGTTTCTCTCTTTCTCTCCGATCCCATCCCTCGCCAGTGCCGTTATGCCCCTTGAACCAGTCTACCCGTCTTTGCACGCTCTTGGTTTGGTCTGGCACTGTTTTATCACGGTCTGCTGCTCCTCAAGCATGTTCACTTCTCTTCTTCTTCTCTTCTGCTTCTCTTCGGATCTCCTGCCATCTTCGTCTCCCATCGCCGTCACCATCCTCACCTCTCCCGCGATCGGCTTCTGCCCATGGTCCTCGATTCCACGCGCTATCTGAGCAAGATGTCCATAGGGTAGGTAGTATTTCAGAGGGGGTGGGGTAGACAGATCATAAATATGGCTAGGTATGACCCCTACTTCAATATCGAGTTGGGGGGTGTATATATAGCTGTGATCACGAGCGGGGTAGGGAGGATGTGTATTGACTAAGTGTCGGGTGGGGTAATCAAAATGGGGGTATTGTTTGGATCAGAGTCAAGGACATTGGGGGGTGGGGGGTACTCAGGATCTGTAACGAGAATAACGTCGGATGAAACGACCGCGCCGAATCATGGGCCGGAGATTGGACGCCGTCACTGAGTCCGACCGGAGTGCCGCAGTGCCCGGGGCCGGGCGTGACTCTCACCTCAGGCCACCGTCCGGTGCCGCGGCGGGCCCGGCCCGGGTCCCCGCCGGGCGCCGAGATCGGACGGAGTCGCCCAACCGTTTCAAGGCTGAACAGTCACGGTGTGCAGTTGGGGTTGAGACAGGCCGGGCTGACCGGGTGCCAGGACTCGTCCGAGTCAGTGGCTCGGACCGTCGGACTCTCACAGAGTCACCCGGTGACCGGCAAGTTGACACAATTACCGTTCGGACTCGGTGATCAATAGGCCGCCCGCTGTCACGGGGGCCGCCTGCAGTGTCCGTCACGGTGGCGGCTTGATAGTACTGTACTGAGTCTATCCGGGCCGCCAGATCCGTGGCATCCTGTGAGTACCCCCCACCCCGGGCCCCGGTCGGTATCATGGATCTGAGGGGGGCTCAGCAGTGAGGTCGGACTCCGACCGTACAGGCTCCCTTGGTCTTGACCGTTGAGATTTTTCACTTATCTTTGAAACGGCTAGTCAAAGCAGGATGGTGACATGCAGCAGCTGCGGGGGCAGCACTGCGAGGGGAAGCGATACGAGCAAGTCAGAGGCTGATGAGCTTGAGATGATTGAGGAGAGAGCCTGAGGCGATGGCTCACTCTGCGCTGCGACGCCTTGTGGCTGTGTGGTTGCTGCTTGAGGTAGGAGGAGGATCGGACACTATCCGATGTAACTGGAAACCTTCTTTCAGTGATACAGGAGTGGTGAGAAGTGACGAGGTCGGGGCTGTAGAGTTTGACTCCGCAACAGGCATCAAATTTGACAACCATGTTCGGCAACTACAATTACAGTGATGCCTTGCCGGTGAAGCTCGATTTCTTCTTTCTCTTCTCCTTTCATCTCATATGTCTTGTCTCTTCTCACTCACTCAGTGTCATCTCTATTCTCTTCTCTTCTATCCTTTCTTCTGCTCTGCTCTGCTGCTCTTCTCCTCTCTTCTCTTCTCTTCTCTTCTCTTCTCTTCTCTTCTCTTCTCTTCTCTTCTCTTCTCTTCTCTTCTCTTCTCTTCTCTTCTCTTCTCTTCTCTTCTGACTTCTCACCTCTCTGTTCATCATCTCTCTTCTCACACTCACTTCGACAATGTGCAGGACTGCATTCAGGCGTGCGTGAGCTCACTGACCTCAGAGACTTCTCCTGGTCTGTACACGTTCTGATCAGCTGAGAGGGTTGACGTGTCTGCTAGCCCTGGTCAAAGACGAGTTCATGAAATGCTGTACGAGGATGCGGCAGCAGATCAGCATGGACGACGAGGTTTCGGCAACGTATGAGTGCTGCGTGCAGTACCGGACGTGGAATGGGATGGGCGAGTCGACCATGGTGGGTGCCGAGGAAGCAAACTTGTGGTATCGTGACTTCTCTTGTCTTTTCTCAGACTTGCTGCATGGAAACTAACAGGCTCTTCCGATCCTGGTATGACAGCTCTAACGTGGAAGCAAGGACGTGCGAGGTGGCGTGCAAGACTTGGCCTAACTATGGGGTGGGGGTCAAGTGCTCGTGCTTGAACTATGTCGGAGGATGCAACGCCGATGGGCCGAAGGACTGTGTTCCCTCCGGCACGTGGAAGTATGCGCAAGGATACGAGGCGATCGACATGTTCCAACAGTGCTCGGCGGAGGTGTGCAGGTTTCGTCTGCTGGAAGACAAGGTTCGCAACTCGATGTTCTCGTGGATGGTTGGGATACTCCGCGCTGGCGTCTTCACCAACTCGACGCTGAGGGAGGAGATAGCGCAGGCACTCCGAGGGCTGGACTCTGACCTCGCGTCCGTCTTCTCCTTCCCCCTCACCAGAACCACCGATGAGCTCCTGCTGGCTGTGTACGCTTCTGCCTCAGCTGCTCTCCTCCTCCCCGAGACTGTCTTCAGGCTGGATGGACACGTGCAGGCCTGTCGTCGTCCTGACGACATCTGCCTTTCCACCTGGTGCCACGAGTGCTCCCAGTGGCGCGACGGATCGTTTTCGTGCCCTCCTCAGCCCTGCGATCGTCCTCCCCGACTGGTGGAGGTGGGAGGCGTCGTCTTTGACGCTGGGACGGGGCTGAGAGCAGACGCCAAGATCCGAGACGTGATGGTGACGAAGCTGGACATGCTTGTGTTCGCTCTGAAGCTGGTTGGATATCAAGTGGACTCCATAGAGGAGATGAAGATGCGGGAAGAAGCTCGGAATGCTTGGCAGCGATCCCTTCCTCCCTTCCTTCCCAAGAGCGCCTCCCCTGCCATCCCCGCCTTCTCTCCTCGAGAAAGCTCCCTGCCCATCGCTTCCTCCCTCGATCACTTCGAGGATCGTCAGTCTCTCCGCTACAAACTCTCGCAGGGCTTCGCAGGTGACGCGCCAGGAGGTCGGGGAGCAGACCCGGGAGGACCGCAGGTGAGGAGGAGGAGGCCGCTGTGTCGGGCTGGGAGCCTGCACCGACCGGAGGAAGAAGACTACAAGCGCGAGGACTGGAAGATGGAGCTTGACATGTGGTCGGGAAGCGCTCTCGTTGCTGACGGGTGAGGAGGAGGGAGAGACTTTTAGTTGGCCACTGCCATCATATCAGTCTCAAACTCACGCTGATCACGACAACACCTGTACAATCACAAGCAATGTCTCATTCTCTCAGAAGAAGTCGGTTCATCGCTTGTTGTCAATCTTGTTTTCATGTTCCATGTTCAGCCTCCCCCCTTCTCTCTCTCCTTCCTACTGATGCTCTCTCTCTCTCTTCTTCCTACTGACGCGCATTCTTTTGATCTCCAGCGTTCTCCCTTGGGTAAGAGAATTCAAATCTGCTCGCATCAAGTTCGAGGAGGAGATGGATTCATTCAGGTCAAAGTTCGAAAGCCTATAAAAGACCACAGACCAAAATACAAGATCGCTGGCTACAAACAATCCACGAAATCTCCCCTCCTCCTCCTCCTCCTCAGCGGCGGCGGCGGCGGCGGCGGCGCAGCGTTTTCCATTGAGCGGCCTTCTGATTTCAATCAAGTCTCAGTTTTCCTTGAGCTCGAGCATGTAGAGATCATTCATCCTGCAACAACCGTTATTTCTCCCCACCACATCCCTTCCCTCCTCCCCCTGCCAGCCTCCTGACTCGCTCAAATGTTCTCTGCTGAACTTCCTTTCCCTTCTTATTCCTTCTCCCCTCTACATCTCCTTCCGCCTTCTCCTCCCCCCCTCCGTGAGCTTCCAAGCTCACCTGGTCGGGTTCTCGTCATCTCCACTGAGACCTCCGAATAGGATCGCTTTCCCCTCGCTCGCTGACCGAAAGACAATGAGGGTCGAGAGGACAAGGGAAGGAATCAGATGAAGGGGAGAGAAGCAGGAAAACGAGTGGAGTAGCGAGGAGGGCGGCACCTGCTGCCATGGCAGTCCAGCCTCTCGGAGGAGGCGCTTCGCTCCCCTCCTCGGGGGTGGGGACGACAAGTGTCTTGGATGTCGTGTGGATCAGCACGAGGTCGTTGGCGAAGGCTCCTGCTCCCTCATGCCCCCGGTCCTGATGCTCAAGTCACTTCCTGCTTGTTCGCTGCTGGGGTCAGACTCACCGAAGGGTCCACCTCACCCCCGAAGACGCACGCAAACTGCCCGAGGCAGCAGTCCCCGCACACGCTCCTGCCCCTCAGATCTGGCACGCTGATCTCAGTCCAGGCTCTGCTTGACAAGTCGAAGGCGTGTGCGTCGTTCATCTCCTTCCCTGAGAATCCGGCGACAACAAAGAGCTCCCGTCCTGCATGCAGCAACGAGGCTCCTCCTCTTCCGAGGATCTTGTCGGATGACGGCATCTGCTCCCAGGTCTTCTGCTCCGTGTCGAACCTGTGCAGGTCGCTCAACCTTCCCGACGTCCCGCATCCTCCGAAGACGTAGAGATCCTTTCCGACGGCAACCATCCTGTGGAAGCTGCGGCAAGCGGGAGGGCTCCCGCCCTTCGCCTCCACGAGGCTCCAGCGGTTGACGGCGACATCGAACTCGTACATGTCAGCGAGAGGAGCCTCGCTCATTCCAATCCCCTGCCTTCCCCCGAAGATGTAGATCTTGCTGCCTACCGCCGCTTGCGCGTGCGCGACCCGGGGAGGAGGAACGTCTCCCTCTGCAGCCATCGCCTGCCACTTGAGGGGAGAAGCGGAGAGGTCCAGCTTGAAGACGGTCGAGTCGATAGGAGTGCGAGCCACGTGCTCTCCTCCAAAGACGTAAGCGACGTTGTTGATGCAGCTGATTCCATGGGAGCTTCGCTGTACAGGAGGGTCGATGGCTTCGAGCTTCTTCCAGGTGTAAGATGGCAGCATGATGGCACTAGCGTGGAGCTTCGCGGAGAGTGATGGAATGACTGCGATATGTAAGTGAGCGGAGAAATGATGGAGAGAGAGAGAGCGAAAAAATGGTGAGGAAAGACAAGAGAAGCAGATTGAGCAGACGACTCCAGGAACGACAACAAATGTGGAGAGACATGAGAGGGGGAAGACGATAGAGGATAGAGGGGGGAAGTGCTGGTGCTGGTGCTGGAGGAGAGAGAAGTGCCAGGGGGTTTGAATGAAGGGGGACATGAGATGAGGTTGGACGGGACAAGAAGAAAGCAGTATGGTCAGGAGGGGAAGAAAAAAGTGGCAGTGTGGTGTGATGGAGGAGGACGCGGGGGCGGGATCAGAATGAATGAACGGAAGGAGAGGCGGATGGGATGAAAGGAGAAGATACGAGGGAAGACGATGAGAGAGAAGGAGTGGTGGAGAAAATGAAGGGAGAGGAACGGAGAGCAGGAGATGCAAGGAAACGAGGGAGGAGAGGAAGCAGGGGAGAGGGGTGGGATGAGAAGAGGAGGAAGGGATCAGTAGAGGGGTGGGTAGGGGCTGATGATGGGTGGAAGAGGTAGAGGGAGGGGCTGATCGTGGGTCTAGGAGGGAGAGGGGCGGAGATTTCGCCTGCTGTCAAGAGGACGCGGAGGCGTGGCCATGGGGGCATAAGTTCTAGGGCAGCGGAAACACCTGGACAGATATAAAGTAGTATCGCAGGACCAGGAGGATTCGGCATTGACCCGATTTTGAGCCCGCCTCAGGGCGCGGCACTGGGAGGTCAGGTCCGACGGCGACTGACTCAGTGAGTCCGGCGCGCCGGGCGAGCCTACTACTAGGCTAGTCGGGCCCGGCCGGGGACCCGTGAGTCGGCGGCGGTCAGTCTCGGCCCCGGGGACCCGGAGGCCGCTAACGCCGGTGAACCTGCCCCAGTGCCTCTTCCGACGAGCCTCTCCCTCCCTAGCCGACGGCCGCCGCGGCGCGCCGGGCGTCACAGTGGCCCGGACTGACCGTACTCCCGGGCCGGGCCGGTGATCGGCCGACACCTTGAACTGAATCTCAATTTGCCGGACACCATCCTGGTTTTTTTCATTCCACATCAACGGCCATGCGACCTCCCTTCAATGGCAGGTAGGCGATGGTGGAGATGACAGCGATGATGGAGGTGATGGAGGTGATGGAGGTGATGGAGGTGATGGAGGTGATGGAGGTGAGGATGAAGAGCATGAGGGCACACGGAAATATATGAAGACAAAATCGAGCTCTGTGTTCATATCAGGTTGAGATTATGCCTTAGTCAGCCTGAGAGCAGAAAAGAAGCTGTGTAGGATATATCAAACCATCTTTCAAGCACCATATCTGATTCATGCTGGCTGGCTAACATTCATTGTCAAAGAAACTCCTTCAACTTTGACAACGGCTCGAGTTACGAAGGTCTGATCAAGGAAAGATGTTCTGTTACTCATTACGCTGCAGGAGAATGGCGAAATTTTCTTCCTGATGGCTATGGTACATACATCTGGCCCAATGGATCGAAGTGAGCTCCTTTTGTAACAAGAAATTGTTCTAATGCTGATGACTTGAAGGTATGTCGGATTCTTTGAAGCTGGTTGTTTTCATGGAGATGGCAAGCTTTATGATAGGAATGTATGATAGTCACTGTGGCTTTTCCAAGCACGCCTTGTTTCTCATTTTTGAGGACCGCACAGGGAACATGTTACATGGGGAAGTTTGAACGAGATGTGCTGCAGGGAAACGGGAATGTCGAGCACTACTCAGGTTCTGCTCTCAATGTTTTTCTGGAGCAACAAGTTTTCTGTAAATATGTGATTCCATCCTGCTCATCGACTCAGGAAATAAGTTTCAAGGAAATTTCCTCAACTCTAGAGCAAATGGATCTGGAAAATACAGCTTTCGCAAGACAGTGGTGAGTTTGAGAGGAGAGTGGTGTGGTTTTCGATTTGTCTTTCTTCCCTTGCCAATTCGTTGTCACGATGACTCAGGTGGAGGGCGTGTGGGAGAATGGTCACTTCTCGACAGCAAGACACGACTCAGAGGGTAGTCATTGAATGCTGAGAGTCGATTTCCTACAGGCCCACTGACATGGTTGCTGCCAGAGACTAGTCATTCGGCGCAGCCTCCGCAGGCAGCTCAACCGGAGCAAACTGAAGCAGGTATCAGATGCTGGGTTCCAAACATGCAAAAACGCTGAAAACTGTAAAAGGGGCAGCAGGGGACAACAGAAAGCGGCATTCTTCGGAATGGAAAGGCAAGGGCCTGGCAGGAGTCACTTTCTCCAACATAGTGGGCATGGATGTGAGTGGCTCAAGGTGGGGTTACGGTATACTGAAGTTCATACCTAGCCTGCAGATATGGGCACACTGGATGTCAAGGTGCTTGAGCCTGTCCCTTTCCTCATCTCCATATGACAAGGTGTTGAAGAGTGGAAAACTGGCGCAAAGACGAGCAAAGCCGAAGAGTGGATCTGGTCCACACTTTCCGTTAGTGCAGGCCCATGCTGATCTCAAGTGACAGACACTCTCGCTGCATCGGAAGCCGAGGAAGCGGAGGTGGCGAGCAGCGACTCACTGACATGATTCTTATGTTATGCCCAGCAGGGTGAGAACGACAGCGAAGCCTATGGAGAGGAGGGAGCTGTGATGCAGACAGAGGGATCTATGGCAATCTCGGTGACTTTCTCTTCCATTGCCTCCCTCATATCTGATTGATGAGGCTTCTTCTGGCAGCTTGCAGACGAAGGAGTTGATGTTCCTCTGCTCGCACCGACCAAATCGACAATATTTCTGAAGCGAAAGGAAAGCACAATGCCTTGATACTGTGACGTAGACATGACATTAAGTTATCATCACAACTGAATTTGAGAAGTTGGTTGTTGAGAGATTGATGATCACAGAATTCTTTTAATCAAATCACAAAATGAAACACATATGTACATGCCCTGAAAGAATTCTACAATTGAAGAGCTCTCAGGTTGGTCACCACATTTGACGGAGTTTTCCCACAAAGGGAAGAATCGTTTGAATGCCAGTTATCAAACCTCAAGTTTGCTTCTACCAAACAGGTCGGGGATCGCTCCACAATCCTTCCCGGACCCTTCAGTGCAAGCAATTCCAACAGATCATCGTCGTTGATTTGAGATTCTTGTTCATCAGCATCACTCGCATAGCAGTCGCGTCCTCTGCTGACAAATTCCTCCCACTCGTTGCTGGAGTGTCCATAGGAATGAAGAGCACACACGCTCTGCTCGATGCCTTCGGAATCCACGAACTCCATCTCAAAGGCCAAGTCAGAGAGGGAGAGGGAGTCTTCCTTAGAATAGCCGGTAGCAAATGCCATGATAAAGTTGAATGAGATCCGAAGAGGAAATGAGTAAGCGCAGAACCAAGTTCAAAGGGTGGTAAAGAGTAGATGAGCGTGCTCGTGAAGGAGGAGGGGAGACTTGTGAAGGGGAGGGGGCGGAGGCCTAATATAGACGAAGTCCGTGGGGTAAGGTTGACTCTGACCCTTGAAAAGGGGGGTGGGGGTGTGTGGGGGGCGAAACACAAAGGTGTAGAGAGAAGGTGTAGGTACGTTGAGGGTGGGGTAATATAAATTAGGGTGGGGGGTAGGTCCTCCTGAAAGATAGTCCCCTTCTTAGGTAATGCTTGCCAATGTACCGGTTCAAGTTAGGTCAAAAGTACCGGTGAAATTGATTCTTCAACTTCCTGAATGTTCTCTGCGAAGGTTTACGAGAACAAAGGGGTGGGGGGGGTAATATTTTTACCACCTTCTTTTCAGTTTGAGGGGTGTAGCAAGCAGGCATACCAGGATCTTTGCCGGAGAGGGGTGGGGTAGGTGGTTGCAGGCGGTGTAAGATGTTTCAGATGGGGTGGTAAGTTATGAGGTGTAAATCGTTTTGAATTACCAAAAGGTTGACTCGTGAACTTGAGTGCGAATGGGGGTGGTATGAAAGTATGGGGTGGGTCTTGTATGTACCAGGTCACATTTGGACTTTCCCAATGTACGAATTTTTGTCGATTACTCTCAAGGTAAATCATCCAATCCTTCAAACTGGTACCCGAACTGAACATATTCTGATAACAAGTCACCGAAGGAGCAGGCAAATGGGTAGGTGGGGGTCAAGAAATGACCGGTGGAATACAGGCAAATGAAGGGCTGGAAGGATACGACTGGGGCGACTTTAGCACGTGAGGTGAACCATCGCAAAACCCGAACCTTTCCTTAAAACCTTCTAACAACCCCCGTCACATGTTGAAACTGAATGATTTCAACTTCAGACTTGGGGGAGGCCTCATCGAGGATCGATCGTTTCATAAGGGAGCTGTCAGCGGAAAGGCTGCAGCCTTGAAGCTGATTACCTACCCCCAGGTACTAAGTTGACCAATGTAAGAGGGTGGGGGTGAGTATCCGTGACTGATTTGAGTTGGGGGCGAAAGGGGGTGACTGTGGCGAAGAATTTCCGATCAACCCTGATTGATTGCAAAGTTGCTAAGATTGATATCATACAATTTGAAACTAAAGAGATGATTTTGATTTTGTTATTATTTATTCACAGAACAAGAATTTATGATCAAAACGACTACTTGAAGTCGTAACTCACAGTCATAACGATCTTTCTGGGCGAGTGGTCAGAATAGGCTTTGAAGTCAAAACAGAGGGAGGCAGTGATATGACATATCACCTAATGCTCGAGCTATAAGATAGAGATGGCTAGAGGCAGTCGCAGGATGCCTTTCCTCGACAATCACGTGTCGCCGGTTGACGGTTATCACAAAATTTGAGTCACTGAAACTACAATTTTTCGTGCAGTCCAGACGCATGAGCCGTCAGCCAATCATGATCGACGTTCTAACGACTGTCTCATTCTGGAGATTACTACACATGTCATCGTGTCACGAGGGCATAGATCATCTTTTGCCCGTAGTAATACCGAATGCCACGTGCGGCACTTCGTTGTGCTTCCTTTGCCAACCTTGCTGAGTCAGCACTTCATATCAGCCTTGTATCACGGATACAAACTCCGTCGCCGTGCCGCTGCCCCGGGCCGGGACTTTGAGTAAATGGCAGGGCCGCCGAGGCCCGGCCCGCCCACGGCCCGTCACTGCGGCCGTGTGTCAACGTGACTTGGTCCCGGATGATCGGATCGGACGGCCCGGGCAGGGGGCCGTCCAAGTCCCAGTACTGCTACTCTGCTACTAGTGACTTGTGTCTACTGTCTACCGTACAGTGTCCGATGATCATTGACTGCAGGCACGGTGCCGTCGCCGGATTGAGCCGTGAGCCTCCAAGCCACATTTTCGGATCGGACCGTATCAGACGGTCCGACTACAGATCATCATCGAGTCCCGGCGGTACTTCCGATGTAACGACAACTGAGCAAGCGGCTAGACGACATCTAGATTCTTCGATCATCACTCTGGTGGTGTTGATTCGGACTGGTCCAACTTGATGAGAGGAACGATGGCATCTTGAACGTCGCTGCACCGGCATCAGTTTCACTGTTTTGATAGCAACCAAGTTTGCGTACATCATCAGCCTTGCATCAAGGTTTCTGTACTCTTGGCTCTTGACGATCTCGCCGAACCTTTGGATGATGAAGTCAATACACATTGCCTGAGGTCAGGGGATGTCAGAAATTGCATTGAGAGGTAAACAAGACCTTCAAGTCAGGAGCGTCAAATCTATCAGCACATTTCAGGATATGAATGACATTTTCCATAGCAATGGAGCTCTTCAAAACGGCTGCACACTGCTGCTTCAGGCCGTATAGCAAGAATCTGTCCGCTAGCATCATCACATCCATTGCATCTTCCTGGTCAACAAACACACTGCCAGTGTAGATGAACTGACAGACTTTTCTGAAATGCACAAGAGGAACGTCCTCGAGCACTAGCTCTTTCTTCTCGCACTCGATCATCCCACTCGTGAACATCGAGCGCAAGTGTGGGCAGCGCGCGTACAAGATGGCCTTATGAACATGAAGCTTATTGCCTTCCACAATGAGAGTGAAGTCGCTCATGGTCGGGTCTTCGGACAAACGGAGCAGATCCGACTCAAGTTGCATGCTGTTGCTGGTTCTGATCGCATCGGCTTTCAAGATCGTCACGTCAAACCTTTGGCTGGCGCCCTGGAACTGGAGGGCATTAGAACATTTCTTCCTCTTGGTACCAACCTCGGAATCTTCCAGCTCCGCATGCAAGAAAATGCCTGTAGCGGGAGTCTGGAAGGAGAACTCAATCTCCGCCATGCCGCTCGTCATGTAGGGCTCGTGATGCAGCGTCAGCTCTGGCACTTCGACGTCGTTCGCTAACTCGAAGGCGTCCCAGGAAGTAACGCTGGTCAAACTTGAGTTGGCAACGTAGAAACAGTCCAGCCTATCCATGTCCTCATCTTCGAAAGGAATGCCCCCAAACAACAGGTCTCCGTCCACCAGGAAATCGTACTTACGATCATTCCAGTCAATGTTGAATCTAATGTTGTACCACCTATCGGCTTCACCCGTGAAATGCAAATCGTTGAAGTTGTCGGGAAGAAGTGTCGCATCGAGACCAAAATGTCCCCCTTGGCCCATTATGAACAGCAACATGATTTTGCCTTTGTGGTTCCTGAAGAATATGATGCCAGTCTCTTCATCGATAGTGTTTGTTTTGCAGTAGAACGAGACGTAAGTGGGTTTGATACCGTCGAGTTCACGACTTAAGCACTTCTTCCAGTTGTAATCGACAGTGGCATGTCCTGTCCCACCCATGATCGTCATACATCGTCGGTTTCCTAGCTTTCCTTGCCCTTCGTCCTTGCTAGTTACGGAGACCTGCACCTCCTCGCCCTTGCAACCAGGACCTTTGGCCCATTCCCCCAACGAGCCGTCCTCGAAGTCATCGTACACGAGATGCTTGTAGGCCTTCACTGTGAGCTTCCCTTGAGCCTCTCGGTCCACCTCCTTCCTCTCGTTCCTTGCCACCACTCTTAGCTTCTCCGCCATCCTAGCGCTCACTGTCCGAGCGCTCTCCCACCACAGCATGACAACGGCACCTTCGGGATGACTGTCCCACTATCTCGTATTGGATATCCACCCCCACCCTCCATATTGTTCCGAACCCCTTGTCAAATTACCCCTACCCATAAATCAAACTCAAAATACGCTAGAAGTACCCGGTAATTCTCTATGCCTTCTGTATGTACCCTCCTGGTATCCTCATACCTATGCATACCACCCCTCCCTTTCGAAGCAGGACTTTCGGGGAACCATCCATGGTGTTTTCTGGTAGCGCAAGAGACTAAGACGGAAGGGGGGGGAGGGAAGAGGAGGGAGCAGGAGCGAAACGTGGATGATGACAAGTAGAAGACATGATGACGATAGACGTCGCTCGTTCTACATGTGTACTCTACCATGAAACTCCCATGTTCCTTTCTTTTTAGCTCAGCTTCTGACGCCGTCGTATTCCAGGATGGTACGCTAATTAGATCAAGTGCTTTGCAGTTCTACCAAACTCACCAGCCTTGAATGTCTTCGAGAGGAGCTGCATTTGTATCACTTCTCCTCGTGACATGTTTCTTCGCTGGAGAATGCTCCAACGGTCTGCTGAATATGATTCATCAAGAGTAGAAGCTGATAATCTACATTTCCTGCTAGCGGGAGACAGGGAAAGGGAAGCATACGTCACTCTGGTGACAACTCCGAATTACATAATCGGTGACCTACATCACTTTGACCTCATTATCTCGTCGCAACTGTCTCCCGCATCAACACTCATTTCCCCACAAGTCCTTCCCCACTTCTCCTCCCCGTCCTCCTTTTCCTCTGCTCAGCATCACCAGAGCTGGCCAGGAGCAGAGGTTCTTGCCAAGTGTCTGCGACATGTGGGAGCAACGAGATATCTGGTGAAGGAGCATGGAGTGAGAGAGGAGAGGTGTAACCTCTAGCCGTCAGGTAGCGCTTGTTGGACCCCTGCTGGACATGAACGATGAGCAGCGTCTCAAGGCAGCAGGGTATGCTACAAGAAGATTGTTACAGGTGATTCAGAAATTACAGGTTGATAACAAGAAGGGTTGAGGATATACAAATCTTCGAGATTGTTGTAAGTATCTTCTAGGTTTATCTTTGAGAAGTTTGATTGTAAACGGAAGGAATTGCTGGACCGGCCATACTTTAACACCACATTTAACAAACTGCATGTTTTTGGTCTGTTCGATGAGTACGACAAGGTAGACAATGACCAGCGTTGCGAGTTTGCTGACAGCGATTCAGGTGGTTTTTCTTGATGCTGATGTGTTGGTGCTCAAGAACATCGACGAGCTCTTCGACGTTGACATCTCAACTGTAATAATATCATGGGCCGTCCACCGTCCGTGAGCGTATCTCGCTACAGGGTTATCCCTTTGCTGCTGCTCCAGAGATCATGCCGCCAGACAGGTCTGATCGGTCTCGTGGACTCGTCTTCATGTGTAATCCTCCTTTACAGGTTCAACACTGGAGTTCTTGTCGTTGCTCCTTCCAAGGAGGTGAAGTAAAACTCTTCTCCTTCCTCCTCAACTCCAAATTTCCAATCTGCTGCCTTTTCTGCTTCCTCCCCACCTTTTCTCTCTCTTCTCTCGATCTCTTTCTTCAGCCCTCTCTTTTCTTCTTCTCGTTTCTGTCATTCAAGATCGCCGGCGGATCGCCGTATCCTCTCGTCGTGCCTTATATTGTTTCTCCTCCTGCTGCTGTAGACCTACCGTGAGCTCCTACTAGCCGCGAGGAGCATGCGGAGCCCCGACGGCTCTGACCAGGCACAGGAGCTGCCGGTCTGCGAAGGGGCTGACTGCGCGGCAGGGCTTGTTGAACGAGTTCTATCCTCATTGGTTCAGTCAGGATAGCTCCCATCGCCTTCCCTTCATCTACAACACACTGCAGGTATGCGCCAGGAACATGTGCGCGCTTGACCCTTGGTGTTAGACTGTTGCGTCCTACTACAGCCCGGCATGGGAGATGCTGAAAGAAGATATAAAGGTGATGGACCAGTGACAAGGAGAAAGTCAAGTGAAGAGAAGGACAGGAAATGAGAGAAGGTTGAGGGAGAGGGCATCGAGAGAAGAAGAGAGTACAAGAGGGGAGAGGAGAGGAGAGTACAAGAGGGGAGAGGAGAGGCTGAGGAAGGAGGGAGGAGGGAAGGAGAGAGACTGAGAGAGGTTCAGGGCCTGAGAGATGATGCAGGTCCTACACTTTGCAGGAGACGATCTGATGAAGCCATGGTCGTTCGAGGGCTCCCTTCCTCCGTCCCTTGGCGTTTTCCTCTTCCTATGGCAGAGCATCGCGAGGCGAGTGTCGTTGTGGCAGGTTCGAGCTGAGAATCTTCTGAGCAGAACTCCAGCTGGAGGGGACATTGGCCTTCACTTCAAGGTGCTCAACGTGACAGATCCAGAAGAAGTCAACGCGCTGTTTAGGAATAGGATTATATGAAGACGCAGCCCACTCCTCCGCCCTGCTTCTCCTCCCTCCCTCTCTCCCATTTCCGCTCTGCTCTCCTCCTCCGATGTTCTACGCAACCCCCCCCCCCCTCCTTCTCTGACATAGGCTGGAGCACTATGATAACGTTTAATAGACTTTGGCTAGGGGAAGTTCTACAAACATGACGGAGAGGGGCGGGACGAGGATGCCTGCGCCCCTCGAGGCTCTTCCAGTCGAGCTGTTTACCCACCTCCCCAGGTCCACGAGGCACGACAAGTTCCCTCCCCGGAACATCAGCTCCACTCCGTTGAGGAGGACGACGTTGGAGTCGAGCCCTAGGGAGCCAGGCTGGAGGAGGTACTCCCTCCGAGGCAGCAGCAGATGAGGGTCTTCCGTCAGCTGCACTTCCCGTGTGACCGCCGGGTCAATGTTGATGAGGAGGAGAGTCGCGCCGTGCGTGGTGTTGTCAAAGAAGCGTTTGGACGTATGCGCATAAACCATCAGGTTCTTGCTTCCTCCCGCCTCTCCCTCCTCCAGTCCCTCCAAGACTCGCAGGTCCAGCACTCCGGTACCCATGAGATCATGGAAGGCGACGGCTAGCCAGTAGTTGGGGTGAGGCTGCAGGCTAGTCTTGTTGACCAGCGCGTAGCAACCGCCGTTGAGACTGTGGTAGGCGAACCGCGAGACCCCTCCTCTTGCGAACCTTCCCAGCGTGTTGGCGTACCACAGCATGCTCCACCATCGATCCGTTACCCCACATCGCCCGCTGCTCCACGCAGATGAGGTCTCGCCTGCCCAAACCGCCGCCTCCGGTGCGAGCGAGAAGGCAACCTCCACTGTCGGGGCTGCTTGTTCCCAGGAAGCCTCGAGGAACGCCTGGTTCACCAGCTTGGAAGAGAGCGCGGCGTCTCCCCCGTACCCTACGTAGCTGTGGAACGTGAAGGCGTCCAGGACCCAACCGCATGCCCCTAGAAACCTCCGCGCGAAGTCCACGTTAGGATGCTGAGCAGGTCCGACCAGCAAAGGACGCGAGCAGGAGACTCCGGAGGAGGGAGGACAGTGACGGCCAGGGAAAAAGAGCTCGAGAATCTGCGCGAGGAAGAGATAGTCTCTAGCCAGTACCTGAGGAGCTACTGCAGAGCTTGTGCGAACAAAGTCGGCGTCGTCCAGCTCATTCCCGAGCTCAAACCCTAGGATCCTTCCCTTGAGCTCGTCCGGCATCGTTGAGGTGTAGGCCAGGAAGTCTCGGATGTTGTCAAAGTCCAGCTGAGAAAGTCCGTTGGCTCGCCGCTGAGCTCCGAGGCCCCACACCACGTCGATCTGCGTGTCGTTGGCAAACTCCAGGATTTCATGCCACCTACCCATGGTGAGGCAGAACTCCGGCGGCGTCCCCTGCGTCTCGCATTCGGACCCGTTGACGTTCATCACAACCTTGTACTCCCATCCTCCTCCCACACGCAGAATCGCCGGCGAGAGTCTCTTCACCAGTGTGCGAAGCTGCGGTGACTTGAGGTCGATGAACAAGATGCTGGTATTGGACCAGTGCGCAACTTCTCCTGTCAGGAAAGATAAGGTAAACCCGACGTATCCCTCGTCAATAGTAGAGAACTTGGCTGCTGTGTTGAGCTCCAGTATCGATGTCATGGTCTTGGATGAGACCATCCTCCCGTTCGCCTCAAGATGGCTCAACTCATGGGCCGAAGGTTTCCATGGCTTGCTCTTCTTTAATCGCGAGAAAGGTAACGCATCCGAACTTCGGATAAGCAGTATCAAGACGGCCAGTCTCCCCAGACACGTGATTATGAAACTCGAAAGCTGAGAGCTCATCCCGTAGCAATGGTATGCTTCAGCTGGACTTGTAGTCTCTTGGTATGCTTCAGCTGGACTTGTAGTGTTGTGGTATGCTTCAGCTGGACCTCAAGCTCGTCTTCTTCTCATCCCGTCATGTCGATCGCCCTTGTCGCAAGGAGTTGCAACTCCTCGCATCCTTGAGCACAATCAAGTTCGCCTCAGATATTTCAACCGGAGTTACTAACTGGGGAGTGGCCCGGGCCCCGGGGGTCGGAGCTATGTCCCATTCCTCAGAACCCTCACCCCTTCTTGCCCACCCTACCCCCATATTCACTACCCCCTTTCTACCGAGATTTCGATTACTCAGTACCACTAAACTATGACCCTACCCCCTTTAATATTCCTCTCGATGGTTACACCCACCCCCTCTACTCGCTAGCACCACCATGGAATCGTTTTCTCCCATGCTGTGAAGAGCGCGAGGTAAGGCGAGGAGAAGGAGGAGGCAGGGAGAGGAGAGGAAGCGCGGGAAGATGCGATGCACGATGAAGTTCTAGAGCCTGTGCTAGAGTCACAAGGACCATAGCCTAGCTCTCCCCTCCTTCGTCACTGCAGTGGTCCTCCCAGTGTTGTTGAGAGTGCTAGAACCGGGTGGGGATGATTGAATGCAGTGCAGTAGATGTGAGAGGAGCCAACAAGGTAGTATATTATGTAAGTTTTAGTGGGTAGGCTAAATGAGCTTGTACCGACTTTCGTTGAAAGTTGGTTGACCAGAGATGGATGATGAAATCGAATTAGGCGATGAATGGAAGAGGCTGGGAGAGGAGTGAGGCTGTGAATGAGGAAACAAGGCAAACTCTGAAGAAGACCGCTAGCGACAGATAATTGGAAAGATTGTTGAGCTCAGCTGCCAAATAGAGAGTAAGGAATGTCAGAGTACCCAGGATTACAAACAATGTGAATGCTGCAAGAGAGAGAAGGAAGTGCGCTTGGCAATGTAAACCGATTGATGGCCATCTCTTGTTCCCTGACCTCGCAATGCAGAGGGGGGGTCATCTATACTTGAAGGATGCCTTCGATCCTCGAATATGCTTCTTGGCTTTCCGAGCGGGAGAGAAAGGGGTAAGACTCTGACCGCACCTTTTGTGCTCGTCCTGTCATCAAAAGTACGAGGTCATCCGAGTTACATCCTCATCTCTTGGCTCTTTCAGACTTGTTCACAAGCCCTGCTGTCCAACTGCAGCTTAAAGATTTTCAATCTTTTTTCAATTCATGTGTTTGAACTGATACCTCCCACCTGTACTTTTTTCCCTTTCCCTTCAACTTGGCACAAAATTAACATTGATTCGTCTGTTTCGTTTGCGTCTTCAACTCGTCATTCTACCTCCATCCTCTCCGCCAAGATGGTTCTTAGTTGCTCCTCTGCAGGTGGACAACAGGAGCGTACTACAAGACATTGGATGACTTTCACCTGGTAAGAGCGTGGAAGGCTGCGAGACTCGATGTCATGAAGTACTCCAGGTTCTTTTATGTCGCAAGTACACTCAAGATATACAAAAGATCAATCCAGCACTAGAAAAACTCTCGTCCGGCAACTACATCGAACGGGTAACATTAGACTGTAGCTACTCCTGAGGATGGTAATTGTGTTGCATCCCAGATTGACAACGGATCTTCTGGGACATGTAATCCGCAGTTCCTGTTGTATCCGTGTCTCTCATAGTCTTGCAGCCTTTGAAAACGCGTCGAATCCCAACGAGGTCGATGTTCACTCCAACAGCAAGACCTTTTCAGAAATACCTGAAGAAGGTGAATGAACAAAAGTTAGATACATTTGCTGTGCTGAAATCGAGGGTTTGCAGATACGGAAGGTGGAGAATTGGCCGAGCAGACGCACTTGTTTGCGAAGTTTACATGCTCCTACAAGATCTGGGATTTCTTGCAGCAGGTGGAGTGAAAGCAGTCAAACTCGGCTGGGCTGACAAGTGGTGTAGGTTGAGAAAGGGCAGATCGCTTCCTTTCCTCAAAATGATATGATCGATGTGAGCCCGCCTCACTCGTTTTGATTCGGTTACTCACGCTCACGTTAGGGTGCCTTTGTGTTCTCTGACCTGAGCGGCTTCTCCAAACTCTGTGAGTCCTATGTGGACAAGTTCTCGGGCAGACACTCGGCGGAAGTGAGCGGACAAGCTCCTCGCTGTGCTCCCATGTGACGTTGCGGTAGGCCATGGCCAAGGCGTCGGAGAAGCTCAACCTCGTTGTCAACTCAGTCTTTGAGCTTCAAGTTAGTCTGCACGCCTGTGGCCTGCCCGCCCGTTGACCAGCAGCAGATTCGGCTGGTGGACTTGTACAACGGAGACGTCGTGAACTTCGCGGGGGATGCGTTGTTCGTGCTCTTCCATGCCGACGACATCGCCACCGCAGCCCAGCGCGCTGCTGCATGCGCTCTTGCCATGTTGGATGGAGTCGCACAGCGTTTGAAGGTGACTGCTGGAGCTGCAGGTGGCCTTTGCTGAGAAGTTGTGATATCACAGGCGATGGAGGAGATGGGGATGGATGAGCTTGACACCCAGCTCTTCCTGCACATCGGAGTCGGAGCTGGGAAGATCCGCTGCATGACATACGGAGGAGAGTTCGACAAGGTAGCGCGAGCTCTCGGGTTGATGTCTGTCTATCTGCCTCATCCTCCTCTCAGGCCGAGTTCGTGGCGGCTGGACCAGCATTGACGGAGGCAAAGGACTGCGGAGAGCTGGCCAAGTGTGGAGAGGTCAAAGCGAAAGCTTTCAAGGGCTTCTGTAACCAGACACTCAGGCGGTGATCTCCGAGACTGTCTTGAACCTATGCAAACCCCTCTCCCCTGATGTCGCTCAGATCGGGCAGGTCAGTTTCTTTTGTCTTCCTTCGCCCCTCCCTCAGCACAATCCGCCATCTCTCTGTCCTCTGTCTTCCTCCTTATCAGCTCGCACCCTCTCGTCAGACATCTCCTCTACTCCAACTCCTCGTGTCGTGCCCTGCTCGAGCTCTGCTCGTCCTGAAGTCAATGCAGTCGCGGATGGCTGGCGTGGATGGGCTGGGCGAGACGAACTACTATGTCCTCAACAGCTTCAAGGAGCAGCCGAAGATGCCGGAAGTGACGGCAAGGCAGATGCTCCTGAACAGGCTGAGGAACTGCGATAGCGGAGAAGTAGAGGAGGCGATGCGGCGATTCGTGCCTCACAGCATCTCTGCTTGCGTGGACTCTGGGCAGGTCTGATCCCTTGTCCTCCAGCTGGCACTGCTGATGAGATTGCTGGGCAGTCGCCCAAGGAAGCGGAGGAGAGTCGAAGAGTGACTATCATGTTCATCCGCCTGCTGGATATCGAATGTGAACCCTTCGACTACTCCAAGGTATCGTAAAGATCATCAGCAAGTAGTGATGGTGGTGGAGGAGATGAGGAAGAGGAGGAGGCTGACGTCACCCGCAGGCCGAGACTGTCCAGCTGTTACAGAAGTGCATCCTGGAGATCTACGCGATGCTGCATCGGTATGAAGGAACCGTCTCTCGCTTTCAGATCGACGACAAGGGGACGGTGTTGAAGATTGTCTTCGGGTACTGGAAGAGAGGATTGCGACCGGACCCTGCTCACTCCTTCCTCCTAGTTTCCCTCTCATGGCACACGAGGACGATCCCGTTCGGTCTGTGCACGCGGCGATTGAAATCAGGAAAAATCTCAAGGCCATCAACGTGCAGAGCTGCATCGGTTCGCTTGTCATTCCTCATCTTCATCCTCATCTCTACCTCCTCTCCTCGCCTCCTCTCGCTCTCATGGTCCTGCCTCTCTCAATGATTCGAGGACGTTGCTTCATTCGTTCATTTTGTCCGAGCAGGCATTGCGACAGGATACACAATCTGCGGGCTTGTTGGAAACGACGTCAGACTTGAGTACACAGCAGTTGGAAGGTCCTTTCCTCCCCCTGCTGCATCTCTAGCAATCGCTCCAACTTCGATTCATTTCCTTCTCTTCCTCACTTGATGTCTTCTTCCTCCCTCTCATTCCCATCTCCTCCCCTTCGTCCTCCTCCCTTCACATGCTGTGATCGACTGAGATTTGCCTCCCCGCAGCTCGGTCATCCTAGCGGCAAGGCTGATGCAGGTGACGAGCGTTTCTTGTCTCTTCCAGTGCCTCACCTGCAGAGCAGAACGCCAACTGCTGCATCCTCGTTAACCAGGACACCTACCGCTCCTCCTGCGGCTCGGCAGTTTTCGAGAAGATCTGCTCGATCAAGGTCAAGGGAAGGGACGACAAGATCAAGGTCTTCCGGCCGGTGGAGAGCGAGCGGCGAATTACCAAGAAGTTGGCGCCCATGCACGACTCCGAGGGGATCCTGGGAAGAGACAAGGAGGTGGAGGAGCTCCGCAGCAGCTTCTTCGAGTACCTCGAGCAGCACGCTGCTGACAACACCTGCCCCAGTCACTACGTCGTCCTTTCCGGCCCAGCTGGGATTGGAAAAGCAACTCTGCTGGGCAGGTTTCTGGGGCTCGTCACTGAGATCAAGAATCTGCGCATTCTGAAGGTGAGAGGAGGAGGAGGAGGAGGAGGAGGAGGAGGAGGAGGAGGAGGAGGAGGAGGAGGAGAACCAGGGGAAGGTGAAACAAGAAGAGGAGCTGGAAGGAGGAGGAGGGGCAGGAGCTGGAAAATCTGATTTTCTGTCTCCAGTCTACAGCAGAAGCGGTGGAAAGCAAGACACCGTACCACCCATGGAAGAAAGTTCTCGCCTCCCTCCTCGGGGTTGATATGAACACGAAGCCGACGCAGTTCACAACGAGAGCATGCGTCACCGCCCTCTACAACATCATGGGCGACGACCTCGAGAAGCACTCCGCACTCAACGACGTCCTGCCCACCAACTTCCCAGCTGAGCGAGGAGCAGACGCTCTCGACTCCCGTAGCAGGAGGCTAAAGCTGACGGAGATCCTGGTGAAGCTCTTCAATGCCACAGCTGAGAAATCTCCAGTGCTGATTGTCATGCACGCCTGCCAGTTCTTTGACAACAGCTCCAGCTCTCTCCTTCGCCAGATCCTCCGAAGGTGTAAGGGCACCTACGTCCTGGTTTCAACTCGCAGTGAGACAGGACTAGCTGACTTCAACGATCTGGGCAAGTACGGCTGCAAGACCAAGCTGCTCCCCCTTCTCCCGCTCTCCAAGGAGCTCTCCATCCAGCTCGTCAAGAAAACTCTCGGGGTCTCCGAGCTGGAGCAGAGCATCGTCGACGTGGTCATGAATCGCACGCAGGGCATCCCCCTCTACTGCGTCGAGTTCGCACGGGTTGTCAAAGACTCGCCGGGAGGAGCCATCAGCGAGCTACCGGATACCATCACAGGAGCCATCCTCCTCCGCATCGACCGCCTCCTTCCCGCCCCAAAGCTCGTCCTCAAGATCGTAGCGGTGGCTGGGAAGAACGTCCGGGCGTCGCTCATTGCCGACGTCGTGCCGGCGCAGTTCACAACGGAGGATCTGCAGGCAGAGCTGGAGTACCTCGTGTCGCTCGACATCCTCATTCGCGACCGCAACGGCTACTGCTTCCGACACGAGATGGTGCAGGAGGTCGTTCTCGGCTTCCTCACGTTCTCTCAGAAGCGATTCCTACACAAGAGGATCGCAAACTACTACGTCAACTCCAACGCTGAAGTCTCCGCGGCCACGTTGGCGATTCACTTCGAGCTGGCGGCCAAGGGGATGGACCAGTCTGAGCTCGACGTGCCGGCATGCAAACGAGCCATCTGGTTTCTCAAGGTGCTCAGACCTTCTCCCTCTGCTCTCCTCTCCTGCCTAACTTGCTCCTCCCTCTCTTCGTCTCGCTCACTGCCCTTCTCTCTTCCTATTCTCGCAACTTTGCTTGCTTGCTTGGCGTCATTATCCTGTCTCATCCATCTACCTGTCTCTATCTTTACTTCCACCACCATCTTCTTTGACTTCTTCTCTGCCACTTCCTTCTTCCCTCCTTCACTTTCTCTCTTTCTCCTATCCTTACACGCTGTCAGGTGGCAGCAGAAGAAGCGATGAAGGCTAACGCCATTGAGGACGCCAACAAATATCTCGCGAGGTGTCACGACCTGATGCACCTGATCCCCAGCAGCGCCGATCCCTTCGACCTCGAGATGGCACTCGGGCTTGTCGATGGCAACGAGCTGCTTCTCCGCCAGGTCTACACCCCTCCCCTCCTCTTATCTCCTCTCCTTTCCTCTCCTCTTATCTCCTCTCCTTTCCTCTCCTCTTATCTCCTCTCCCCTCCTCTTATCTCCCCTCCCCTCCTCTTATCTTCACTCCTTTCCCCTCCTCTTATCTCCTCTCCTTTCCTCTTCTCTTATCTCCTCTCCTCTCCTCTCCTCGTATCTCCTCTCCTTTCCTCTCCTCTTATCTCCTCTCCTTTCCTCTCCTCTTATCTCCTCTCCTCTTATCTCCTCTCCTTTCCTCTCCTCTTATCTCCTCTCCTTTCCTCTTATCTTATCTCCTCTCCTTTCCTCTCCTCTTATCTCCTCTCCCCTCCTCTTATCTCCCCTCCCCTCCTCTTATCTCCTCTCCTTTCCTCTCCTCTTATCTCCTCTCCCCTCCTCTTATCTCCCCTCCCCTCCTCTTATCTTCACTCCTTTCCCCTCCTCTTATCTCCTCTCCTTTCCTCTCCTCTTATCTCCTCTCCCCTCCTCTTATCTCCTCTCCTTTCCTCTTCTCTTATCTCCTCTCCTTTCCCCTCCTCTCCTCTCCTTTCCTCTTCTCTTATCTTATCTCCTCTCCCCTCCTCTTATCTCCTCTCCTTTCCTCTTCTCTTATCTCCTCTCCTTTCCTCTCCTCTTATCTCCTCGTATCTCCCCTCCCCTCCCCTCCCCTCCCCTCCCCTCCCCTCCCCTCCTCTTTTTTTTTCTGACGTTCATCATGGTGGGCCGCATTCGTTCTTGATGTCTCCGCTCTTTCTTTGCTCGAGTCTCATGCTTCTTTCCAGGTGCTCGAGCAGTTCCGGGAGAACTCGCAGACGTCGGTCAGAAAGATCTCCGAAGTCGTCCAGGAGCGAGAGGACACGGGAAGTGACAGCGCCAAGATCGCAGAGAAGGGGAAGGAGTGGCTGGAGGCGATCAGGTGGGCAGAGGAGGGGCACAGTGGGTGAGGTAGGAGGTAGATTCTTCCGACAGATGCACATGGAGGAGAACGAGAAAGATGAAGGAGGAGGATGGAGGGGAGAGAGGGAGAAGAGTAGAGGGGGGAAGCTGCTACTGGAGGGAGGGAGGGATGTGACTAGGATGAGCAGATTCGAAGCTCGAAGCATCGCATCCGCTGCGAGCACTTTGGGAGCAGAAGACTTGTCGACATCAGCATTGGATGTGGAGAACTCAGCTCTCGAAGTGAGTATCGTCCCTCTCCTCCTCTCCTCCTCTCCTCCTCTCGCTCCTTCCGGCGTTCCGCTTCTTGGAAGGCTCCTGTTTTCACCCCCGGGGGAGACTGAATGTCGTCGCGGCAGGTGCAGGACTGGCAGGAAGTTTTGGCGGCCATCAAGAGACTGGGGGAGAAGTTTTCTGTGTTGTGCAATTTTATCGACAGCATGTCGGGCAAGGGGCTTCAGAGGGAGGGAGATCGAAGCTCGCTGAGCATGGCGACTGCCAGCAACCAGGACCGCAAGGAGGAGAGCAACGACTCTCCGAACCTCTCCCCCGATGTCGCCCAGGACAGCAGTGCACCTGCGCAAGAGTCGCACGTGCTACTTGACGAGATGATGCGGGACCAGCCTCTGTTCAAGCCCAGCTGACGCAGAGCTTCCGTACTCTCTTGTCTCCTGCTCGCCCTCCGCCACCTCCCTCCTCGTCTATTTCCTCCCTGCTCCTCACACCACCTTGCCTCACCTTATCTTTCTTCGTATTCATACAAGAGATTATCTATCCGACTTTGAACTTGCTTGGCAGCTTGAGCTGTGATATGTCTTGGCGTCTCTTTCTCCCTTTCTCTTCATGGTCTTGTCCCTCCTCTAGCAGTGAAATGTTCCGATCGTGAAGCCTCTGTCGGCACCCCCTCCAAGCTGGTGACGGGCAAACGTGCGGATCCTTCCCAGCTGCACCAGGTCAGCCAAGAGATCTTCATGCTGAGAGCAGGCGCCTGGGGGGCAGGGGATGCCCTCCAGCACGAAGAGACGCGAAGTCTCTCGCTGACCAGCAAGAACACACAACACCGAGAGCACTTGCTCCAACTCACTCGCCGTTCGGTTCAAAACTTTGACAAGAGAAAAATCACAGCGGAAGTCCGGCTGCAACTTGAGCAACGCAACAAGCTTCTCGTCGCTCTCGAGCGAAACTGCCGCAAATCTGCCAGGAAACGAGCGAGCAAGCAGCCTGGCTGTCTGCCTCTGAGGCTCGTCGGAGAAACGATCAAGCGCGAGATGCCGGGTCTTGGTGCTGGACTCGAGCATGTCGAGGCTGGTGAGGCCGCTGCCGAAGCCAACATGGCACACCAGCTCCACCTCCTTGGACGAGGTCTGACCCATTAAGAGCTGCCGGTAAGCGACCAAGTGATCCAGACAGAGGCCCTGGCAGGAGGCGCGATGCTCAGACCGCAGCTTCCAGTATTGCTCTCTGACGTGTCGTACGCCCTCCTCGCTTGTTGCTGGAAACGCTGCAGTCGAAGCCTTAACGAGAGAATCGAGAACGAGCTCAACTTGCTGCGATTGAATGTCAACAATCACATCGGCTTGACCGTCTGCTTCCAGCTCCTTCTCCTCTTGGTTGGCCTTCTGCTCCTCCTCCCCTCTCCTTGCGATAGCATGCTCAAGATCACGAATTTTCAATTTCAGTCTGTCAACCTCACTGCTCCAATCCTGAACCAACAAGTCAGGAGGAAACAAGGCGGAGAACAGATTGGCTGCGGATATCAAAGAGAGAATTCAGTCTCACCGGCATGTCGCAGATGTTTGACTTCGACTTCTGCTCTTCCAAGTGCGAGCTCATGACATCAGTGGATCTCTGTAAGAGCCCTCGACCGAGGAGGTCAATGTTGTTTCGAATGCCTCCTATCCACTCCTCGCCATCTTGCGCAAGCGACTGCAGCAACCAAGTCCTTCCCATCCGATCTTGGATGCTCCACGTTGGCGGGTTGTCACCAGTCAACTCAAGCCAAGCAAGCCAGAGGTCGATGGACATGCTGAACTCCGGAGCCTCTCGAGACTGCTACAGCGACTCGTCACCGACCTAGCGGCTTCAACAGTATGCTTCTGAACCTTGAGAGCTTCTTGATGAGGAAGAATCCAGAGTTTGTCTCTCCAGAGATAGCAAGACCTGCTCGACTTCACCGAGGGCTTCAGAGCATGTGTCACATACCAGGGGGTTTGCTCTCCTTCCATTCTCGCAGCCTTGTGCTCCTTGCCCTGCTGAGTGAGTCAGCTCGAAGACAGCTCTCGAGGTTTGGCACAGAAAAGGGTCCTTGCAGCCAAAGCAGCCCTTGCTTCACGCTTCCGTAAGGTCCATCCTACCACCCTCGTCAAGCATAAAAGTCAGAGCGACGCTGAGTACCAGCATCATCTGTTGCGCTGCTGGTAGCAATGCAGGCCTCTTGATCTTGCTTTCACTAAGTGTTTCATCGGTGCCAGTCTGAGTCGCTTGACCTCAACATGGCGTGAGATGTGTCAGAGCTCTTCGCGCTTCTCACCTGACACGTCACTCTCTGACGGTGATTTCACTTTCCGCGGGTCATGCCAACTGGATGTTCCAGTCTGATGGTTGAAGTAGTAGACTCTTCCGCTGGGATGAAGATGCGACGTCCAGGGAGAAGGCAGCGCTAGCAGCTCAGTCTCGTCGACCTTTGGGAGCCTTTGAATTCTTTGAAGTTCTCTTCCCATCAGCTTTTTGTTCTCATATTGAAGCTTGTGAAACTCTTCCATCAGTTTGCTACACTGTTGTTGATTCAAAGCATCTTGTGGCTTCTCCCGGCTCACCATCTGCAAGGAGCTTTGACATCCCTGATGCATCAACGATCCGACAAGCAGGCGGCTTTCTCTAGGTGTAGTGCTGCTGTTGTCCCAGAGGAAACCTTTGGAATTTCTTAAAAGTGCCTGCAGGGTCTGGATTTGCTGGTTGCAATCTGACTTGTGTTCAGAAAGTATCGCGTTGCGCCTCTCTATCTCAACTTGGAGCCTCCCGGTGTTAATCTGCCTCTCGCCTTCAATCTTTGTGAGCATGCTCTTGTACAGGAGGCTTACTGAAAGTACATGCAGCAGTAAAAACATCCCCAGGTACCAATGCTTGCCAACTTCATGGTTCGACGCTCGATGAACGCTTCTAGGATGTGCTTTCAAACGAATATTTATTGTTTTGTTTGTTCTGCCTTTGTTTGAAATGTGATGGTGGGAAGGTTTGAGAGAACTGACCGGCTTCTGGTGCTTCTGATCATGTTCATTTGATTGAAAACTTGTTTCCTCGTTTTCGCAGGTCCTTTCATCCCTTTCTGGGGCTGATATTTCGCAGTGAGCTTGTTGCATAATTCAACCAGGTCTTGTCAACAATCTGCAGGAATACACAACAAGTATTCGTGTAAAATCTATGTTTCTTGGTTATCTCTGTGAAACCATGTTTGTCTTTTCAGGCCTCATTAAATCTAGTGGGTCCCCTCAGATTGGCATCTGTGATTGTTGTTCGCTTTGGAGGACGAGGATCAGGCTGTTGCTCATCTCTTTCTGCTCATTGCTTATCAGCAGCCTTGCTCACTGACAGCTTGACCATGTTCGAAGCCATGTGCATGCCCTCGCCGCTGGCATTGATGAGCCTCCGCCTCAGGTTGCAACCGTTGCCCCGACACTCATCCGATTACTAGTGGTACGGGAGTCTCCTGATTGTCCTCGTACTGATTTAACTTAACTTTAAGTAAAGGTATAACTTTGAGTAAAGAGGCACCGGCCGCGCGGCGGCCGGGCACTGCAGGCATGCCGGCCGGCGGGCAGGGCCCGGCCGGCCCAGCGGCACTCAGTGGCGTGTGCCGTGCCCACTCGGACCGCGCCGCGACATCCCGTTCCGGCCGCCCCCGGGTGACACAGGCCCCGGCCAGGCTAAGATGTTGCCAAGTTGCCTGATGCAAGTTTACTACGCCGGACTCGAGAAGTAGCCGCTGATAGTAGGCTTTATCATCATCGTCGACTCACAGTCTAACTTTTAACAGCAGCAAAACTAGCAGTAACAGCATGTTGCCATGATCGCGGAGTCCCTACCGTACCGCCGAACTCGCCGCCGCATCCGAAGTTCACCAGTGCACCGCAGCAATGAGCACTGCAACTTGGCAATGGCGCTTCACGATCAGTTTAGGTGCTTACTATCATCACAGAATATCTATTTGAACTGTTTTCACTCTTATAAACGGTACGGACAATTCATTGTCGATCGTCATTCGGCACGGAAGCCTGTCACTGAATGGCCGCAAGTAAATCTTGTCTCCAAGGCTAAATCTTTCCTCCGAGGCTTGCAGCTCTCAGTGACTGGTGAGGCGTTGAAATCCTAGGGTACCAATTCACCTTGATAGACATTGCAGGGAGACTTGAGATACTGATAGGATCCGAATCATCCGAGTATTTGCCGCAACTTTGTAGGGAGCTGTACAGCAATGAACCTCCTTCCTGCTTCAGAGCGAATGAACTCAGTTTGATGTCCAATTTTTGTTTGAAAGAGAATGTCATAAATTATCATACCTGGATTGAAGGCGAAGATTCTTTCAAGATATTAGTCGCAAACTAATGCAAATGGAAGGTAAATGAGTCGCTAGCTCAAGACAACAAGGAAAGAAAGACACCAAAAGACTGTGGCCCTGTGGCGACAATACAAACCAATCACTATCTGCGAGCGCCCACCAAAGACTCAGGTGATCTTTTAAAAACCAGTGCTTGCTCGTTTTTAAAATCTTCGAGAACACAAGTCTGTGAGTTTCAAGTCCACATCATCAGCTGAGTCTGCACATCGATCTCAAGACGTCTGTCTATCAGCAGGATCTACAACAGTGTCACAGCTGATCATCAAGCCGCAAGTTTGCGGTCTCCCCTCCATCTCGTTTCTGCATGCAGTTCTCTAGAGGTTTTCGAGTTGACCCCACCTGATTGCCCCATAGAATACCACCGGTACTGATTTTACCTACCCCTCCTGTAATCATGAAAAAGACCGTAAAAATGTGGGTCGAATTGAGCATCATGACCCTACCCTTTCGAGCAGAAGCGGGAACCATCGCCGACGGCAACCGTGCATTGAGAAGGAAAAGTGGCGGAGGAAAGGAGGAAGCGATGTGCCTGACGCAGGCATACAGTAGGGCATGCATCAATCTCAGAATCGAAGCTGCTTACTTGGAGTCGCCTGATGCTGCTTACTTGGAGTCGCCTGATGCTGCTTACTTGGAGTCGCCTGATGCTGCTTACTTGGAGTCGCCTGATGCTGCTTACTTGGAGTCGCCTGATGCTGCTTACTTGGAGTCGCCTGATGCTGCTTACTTGGAGTCGCCTGATGCTCCAAACTTGTATACGATGAGGACTTGATCTTTACTCTGTGATTTCGCCATCACAATGTCCGAGGGTGCTGTCTTCAAAATCCATTTTGTCTTCTGTTGAAAAAAAACAATACATCGTCTCAACGTATGTCTCTTCTTATTTCCTCTTCCTTTCCCTTAATCATTCTGACTACAGCTGTGAACATTTCACCATCAAAGTTTTGCTTCTTTTCTGTGCATCTACTGTACATCCTCACTCATCATCATTCCCATGGCAGTAGCTCCCTCGGAAGTCATTGGGAACAATGAAGAGTGAAGTGAGTGAGGAAAAGTGATGGTGAAAAAGAAATAGAAAAACACACGAGAAGGGCAAGCATGAAGAAAGAATCATTCAATACGAGAGAAAGAATTATTCGGAGAGATGGCTAAAAGGAGGTGTAATTCACAGCTGGGTGCAAGGGAACGATGAGAGTATACGCTCAAGCAGGTTGTCGTTGAGTGAGAAGAGTAAAGAAGATAGGATAAGTGGTTAGTAGGATTGAGGCAATGTCCCAAGTGCAACTCGGAAACCCAACCTGAACTGCAATAGAGATCAATATTGATTTACCATGTTTCAACTTTTGTTTTATGGTATAGACTTGAATGACATTTATTCATTATCTTCGATGACGTTTTGGTAACTTCACAATTCATGAATGCTCTGCATACATTGCGAGAGATCTGCTTTGCTTCTTGTCCTGTTTTGTTGACTTCAGGAAAATTCTTGACTGTCTCGAGTTCATGGAATTTGAGGTATTCATGTAAAACGAGCAAGGCTTCAAAATGACCTTGACTTGTCTGCAATGTTGATAACAATTGTCAACATTAACTTTGGATTGTTTCGAATGCGCTTTAAAGCGTTTGTTGCCTGAGTGTTGATCATGGGCAATTTCCCGAGTCATTCGGCCCTTGAATGCGGCCTGTAGTTGTCCTAGTTCTGTACAAGTCTTAATTCATTGTAAAGTTTTGAGATTTTGAGCGACACCACTGTCATATTTCAAATTTCAGGGAAATTCTGTTGTCCAACTAATGTGGTTGTGCTCTCAAAATCTTAGGTAGTATGCCTTTGGCAAAGAAATCAAGGGAATCGATCAAACATATGATTGCAAAACTGTGCTTTCAGAGTTTGTTAGATTGGCTTTCCCTCATTTTCATGCAGCCCCCATTTCCACCCAACACAGTGCTGTGTTACATCCCTTCACTGCCTTTCAACAGTCCAAGGGAAGCGGGAACCGAAACAAAACAAAAAGATAAAAAAACCTAAAATAAAACCAACGGCAAGAGTCATGCCAAAAAAAAAGATATGTAGTAAATATTGTTACGACTGGAAATCTTTACTACATTCTTTTTGTTTACCACACATCGCCTCAATCACTACCCACCCTCCGGCTCGATGTCCACCTTTGAAAACAATCAAACATCATTATTAAATTTCAAGTTTTGTGACATACAGTTGGGTATTTGAGAGGTTCCGGATCACAGGGGGTGGTGTGATTTTTTACTACAGTTTTTCGAAATCAACTTTTCACTAAAGGAAATTTGAACATAACTCTTTTGATATAAAACTTTCAAAATAGAACCAATATTTTAATGAACGTTTGACTATTTTTCGATCTACTTGGAAGTGTTGTAATATCTCAACTCTATTGTTTACTACTCAATTCACGCCCCTACAACCCAAACGTATCTTGGAGCGCATGCCCAACAACCCCCCTTGTACCCTCTTCCTTCCTACACCCACCCCACCCACCCCACTCATGACACCTCACCAGCTTTAAACCACCCACCACCACTTTTGAAATCTGGTATGAGTACCGAAAACTCCCCAAACCATGGTCAGAAGGAGGGGTGGGGTCCTTGGTACATTCCATGATGTCCCAACCTTTTTTTAAGGGACCACGTGGATGACCACCCCATGGGCCCCACCCCTACCTGTCCTACCCCTACCCACCTTGTTTTTTTTCTTTGCCTTTGCCATAGCCTCCTTCTAGGTCTTGAGCCCTCCCCGATACCACCCACCCACAAGACTACCCCCATGGTATGATCACTACCCCTATTTTCCTGGAGTAGGGTACGGCCTTCACAACATCCGCACCCCACCTTGATCCAGATCTTACTCCACCCCACCTGCTTTCCACTCCTCCTCGGACCTCCGTTATGCTTCCCGCTCACGCCCCTGCTTCCGAATCCATGGAAAGCGGCGGGACCGCGGCCTTGAGCAGAACTCTTTCCTGCTGTTGCCTATCATGTCTATCCTCTGCTGCCATCCCTCCTCCTGCGCACCATTCACTGATTCTCTCTACCGATGTACACGGCATGATCATTTTCTATGCCCATGCTGACTCTTGAGACTAGCATTATCCTCTTTCTTCGTTTCCTCCTTCTGAACTCCCCTGCATCATTTCTTTTATCTCCGGAGGGATGACAGTACGATTTGATGCTTCATTACTGCACCTGTATCCATCGTTTATCCTGCGTTCGTGTTGTCATACTGGACAACTCTAGTGCTGACTCACTGCTTCAACCCAAGTGTAAATATTAGAGCAGAAAGCAGAAGAAAAAGAAAAGGAAAAGTTTGATTGATATGGGAGTCATGAGGATAGATCCATTTTGTACTTACATTTATCATTGTTCAAACACGTCACTCTCCTTCTGGAGGGCGTGCTAGTCGTATAAGGCAACCATTTTCGTTTCTCGGAACCCCCTCCTTTGCTTCCCAGCTTCCCATGCAAAAAACTCATCTTTTCCATGCTTGTTGCATCGCAATGTGTCATCCAAGTACGTAGATCTCATTCTGCCAAAGACGGCTAGGTTTTGTTCGCCTTCTTCGTGTCGTTGCTCACCTTAGTTTATCCACGAGGATTCCTATGTAGCTGTCAACATGTCGTGAGCTTGATTTCTGTGGGTAGAGGTGTACTCATTTATTTGGTGTGTCGCAGAACAACCAACTCAAGAATGTGCTCATCAGCAGCTTTGAAGGAGACTCCATTAAGTGGAATCTCTATGCCTGAATGATTGAAATCCTGTAAATCAGGAGCCATCTTTGTATTGAAGGACCCGGCAAAGCTGTCAAGCAATCACGATATTGCAAAATTTCTCTCCCAGAGGATCAACATGTACAAAGTCTGAACAAGAATTGCAATCATATTTTAATCAGCGATACCTCGGATCTATGGTCTCGTACGCGGGGACAGTTTCAAGTTGGTCCAACTCTCTTGCACTTTAACACGGACTCTTGTTTCTTTTCAGACCGTTGGACAGCACAGCGCATGAGCTGATTTCTACCAGACAGTTTTAGGCGAACGTGGATTAGCTTAGCATGCAGCCAGAGAACAGATTTTCGTCCTCTTCCTGGGGTGACAAGTCGTCCAATGGTACACGTCCCAGCAACACCACAGCTTCCAACCCTTCGCGACTTGTACAGCAGTTACCGTCCTCATCAACGTTTCAACACCATGAAAGTGCAGGAATAGCTGGTGAGAAGCGACCTCGAGGTCGACCAAAAGGATCCAAAGACACCCAACCGAGGAAGAAGAAGATGAACAAGAGCGACAAGGACTCGGATGACAACACCACAGACATTCTTCCTGCAAGGAGACGAGGAAGGCCGATAGGCTCAAAGGACTCTCATCCTCGCAGGAGAAAGCGAGCTGTTACTGGACTCAATGATGAAGATTGTTACCCTGAAGCTCCCAGCAGCTCCGATCAAATCACAATGTCTCTCGATTCGCACAGCTCCAACGCATCCATGAAAAAGTCTGGGATAAGCAGCAGCGAAACCTCCACAGGAGATAGCATGAGCATTTCATCCGAGGCTCGATCGCATCCATTGAGTTCAGCTGACTTGATTCAAAGCCTCAGCAAGGAACTCTCCCGCTCCCTCGGCAATCCTCCACCTGTTACCAGCTTACCTACAACGACGCCGATGTTCAGCCTGGCAGGAGGCAACTTGGTTCAGGGATCCGTTGCTTCTTGCAGCCTCCGGCCTCAGCTCCTGACGTCCATCTCTCCCGCCTCCTCTGGCCTTCCGGTCTCTGCTGGATTCTTTCGGCCCGGCCTGCTGGACATGCAAGCGGGCTTGAGTTGTATGCCTATCCTTCTGCCTCCTACTGGCATACTATCGCAGTTGCCATTGCAGGCAGGAAACCTGAGCAGTATTATCTCTTCGCGACCGGTGAGTCTTGTCTACTGCCTGTCTGCCTCCCGCTGACCTGATTCATAGATGGAGTCGACGTCGCTGCATCCCCGCATGAACAAGACTGACATTTCTTCGTTGCTTGCTGGATCTAACGACGACAAACGTAAGTCGAGCTCTTCTCTGCACGTGCTAGGTAACAATCTGCCTCCATGACCTTCCTTCACTATCGTACTCGATCCGCTTGTGTTCTCTTCTCCTCGTTCTCCTCTTGTACCCCGGCCCATGTCGCTCACAAGTCGGGCAGACGGGCCCATGCACAGGCACTTTGCCAACTCAAGTGATCTTGTGCTGCCGTCGGTGTCCAAGGACGCAGAGCTGAACCAGGTTGAGTTTCAATTCGCAAAGTCTTAGACTGAAGCTGATGACAGGGCAGTGGTGGGGCGGGAAAGCAGGGTCAGGGGTAACGAGACAGAAAGGAAGGAGGTTGTGATGTAAGATACAGCAAGGGAGGTGTACATAGTGCAGAAGTGAGTCAAGATGTTTGTGATCTAATTCTATCAAAACAATAAAATTGTAACAACACGCTTTCAGCCGCTAACCATCTGCTCGCATTCTCGTGGGTACTCAGCTGCGAACAGTGAGTCAGATCTGTCAAACAGCAGGCAGAGTACAGCAAGCCACAGCAAGGCAAGGACATACCGAGAAGGAGGAGAAGGCTGTGCGCCAAGATTTTCGTGCAGCCCGCAGAGCAAGTGTACTCGACGATGAGCCTGGAGGACGAGCGAAGCATGTTAGATGATTCTTTCAACTGATTCTGTCTCACCTCATCACAGCTGGATCAAGGAGCCCAAACTTGCTCTCTGCCCCCAGCCTTTGAAACATCAGAGCTGCCTGCCTCTTCCTTCCCTGCCGCCTCCTTCGCTCACCTCGAGTGTTGGCCCATACAGAGGGCAAGGTGCCGATCACGCAGGAGCCACAAGGACGAGTCCACACCTCCACTGTCCGCCTCCACTTCCTTCTGGGTGATCTCGAGGAGAGTATGTTCTGCTTTCGCGCGCTTGAGCTCCAGCCTCACACTGCCGCGTGGTTAGTGTTAGCTATCCCTCCCTCCAACGAGCGACACCTGTCCAACGTTGCCATGTTAGCAATGATGTGCAGGGTCAGGTGCAGCTCCCGAGGTTGGATGGAGATGCTCTTGGTTGAAGTCACCGAGTTTGCAAAGCTTGGCTACATGTACACATCAGGTTTTCCATTCCATTCCGATTCAACAAGTACCGTTCGACCGATCCACATTTTCAATAATTCCAGCAACCAAACTATCAGGTCAAATCTGAAGAGAACATGCTTGTTTTCCTGTCGCACGAGTTGAGCACACTTCTAAATAAATCAAAGAATCTAGACCTCTATCTGAGATAAATTCTTCAGTGCATGAACAACAGAAAAAATTCCCCAGGTGATTCCGACCCACTTTTCACCTTTAAGCGCGTAATGCAGACATCGAACCTAAGGTTGGGTCAACTTGTTCATGAATCATTCCAATGAAGTTGGCTGACCAGAATCTCCATCGCCTCTCTTCTCAGACTGACGTTCCCACAAACCCCTGATCGACAGATCTCTACGTAATCCTGAATCGGCCGCTTGTAAACTCCTCTTGAGATTTTCATTTCTCCATGCAGGTTTTTGCAGATCTCGCTTTCGTCTTGCAACGCACGTGAAGTAGGCGAGAGACAGGTTGAGTCCTCCATGGATGAGGTATGTGGCGATCGTGGACCATGCGCCATGATGTTGGCAATCGCCATTGTCGCCCTTGCAACGATCGCGTCCATCTGCAACGATGACATCAATGTAAAGAGCAGAGCTTTTCTGTTCACCTCATCTGGGGTCTCATAATTTGCCATCAGGGCCGCAGAAAGCGCATCATTGATGATGTTGTGCTTGATAAGAACGCATCTCGCCTGCAATCATACAGTCAGGATTATCACTTCATGCCACACCAGTCCATGCCTGATCAGATCTTGAAATGTGATTGAAAGCTCCAACAGCGTCTGTGCGTGCGTTGGTATCCTCAGCCTTGCAAAGATCTTTCAAGGCTCCAAGCAAGCCCGGTTCTTCGCTGAACATAAGGTTCGGCCATCGGCATTTTTGCATTTGTGAAATAATATACTGCGAAAATCCAGGGACTCGTTTGAGATCATCCCAGAAATTCACGGGACCATAGCTAGAAACATATTCGAAAAGGTCTCTCGCTTGTCTTTCCTTGAGGCAGGGAATCGCAATAAGTTCGTCAAGCCTCGCTGAGTTGATGTTTAGCACATCTGCATGCACAATGATAGCTGACGCTTGTTCGCTGAAGGCCGAGATGTTGTTCACAGCCAGAGCTGCAGCTGCTTTGCTGTCTCTCGAGCTGTGCTCCATCACGTTGCAGAGTCCTCGTAATATCCCGGGAGTTCTCACCATTGCTATGCAGTTCTCCGCATTGTCAAAGGCAATTTGCGCCAGTGCCGCACAGGCCCAGCCCTACGAGGAGGGTTAGAACAATGTGTTGATTGAAAACAAGATGCTACTTGTCCTTCATCCGTCCCATGCGTAACAAGGTGTGAAAACCCTTCAAAGACTCCTTCCATCGCCCCGATCTCCTGTCGATTTCTTGTCGCGATGGGTGAGGCATATCCACCCTACAACAATCAAACACGTATCAGGTCAGCCAGTCACATTGCGTATCTGCTTGGAATTCAAGAGATGAAAGGTTCGCCCACGCCTCACAGTCCTTTCATCCTCCCTTGCTTTCGAGTTTCAGTTGTTGAAACCCTCCCCGATTACGCAAATCGGTTGCGAATAGGCACAATATGCATGAACATACCTAAACCTCAACATTCTGCTTTCAAAAGCAGGAAAGCAGTCAAGCTAACCTCTCTAGAGAATTCATGTCTGTCACGAGATTGCAGACACTTGTCTTTCTAGGAAGTAGCTTCTTTTTATCACATCAAGAGTTCCGCAGGAGTTGTACAAGAAGCGAGAAAGAGCTGAACGAGGGATCGAAGAGGACGAGTCACCTTGATTCCGAGATCGAAGAGAGCCTCTGCTGCCGCCGCTGCCACCCAGGGGTCTTCGTCCTTCAGTTGCCTGACAAGCCTCCTCACCTTGTCCTTCACTCGCTCCCTGCCATCCTCCTCCCCAGCCATGGCCATGCACCAAACCAACTCTATTTCCCTCTATTGCCACCCCCTCTAAGGTACGACCCAGACCACCCTACCCCTCTGACTTTTGAACGAGAGGGTGGATTGAAAACCTAGGGCTTATACCCTACCATTTACGTCGTTGTGGGAGATAAGACCACCGGTATTCTTACACCCACCCACCCGGTCATTTCAAATTCCTGTAGGATGATATCCAAATCGCTTTTACCCCTCGCAGCAGTCGCCCCCACCCCCACCCCCACCCCTTCTGATGTATAAGTTTTACAATCAATCTATCAATTATACAGGTAAACCCTTACCCACCCCACCTGATGGGGTAGGTAGAACGGGTAGGGTCTTGAGGCAGTACGACGCGAGGAGTCACAGCATGGCGGGCGGCGTCAAAGTCCTGCTGCTGCTCGCGATGGGCGAGTTGGGTGAGTGAGTTGTGCTTGCATGCAGGGTGAGAAGCGGTAGACAACAAGAAGATGCTGCCGATGATGATCACACAGTAGGCACTTGCAGAAGAGTGAAATCTGAAAATGAGTTGATGAAGTTGAAGAGTTGAAAAATGAACCAACGAGGCTAATACGAGTATGACGATGTAGAGTTACAAGGAAGGAAACTGATACATTGTGGAGAATCTGGAATGGAATTAGATGAGTAACGGCGGGAAGAACTAGAATCGAAAAACGCAGAATTTGTAGAATGAGGATACGACCACAAGAACTGTACATTCTTCTTTTAGTTGGGAACACGATCATACTGATTCGGAATGAGTCAATCTATGTCTAGACTCTGAATCTCTTTTTCGGCTTACGATTCTTTCATTAGCTCACTCGGATTTGTCCACGTACCGTTATGCCAAGATCACGTGGACTTCTTGCGAGCAAGGCTTCTATGATCCTCTCTTCCCTGATACTTGCAAAGACTCTTCAAGTCCGTTGGACATTGGAGTGACAGTAAGCGCAGCATGGGACATCCGAGATTTGAGTGAAACATCTATGATACTGCTCAGTGACGCGCTGCAAGCAAAGCAGAAGTTCTTGACTGACCCTGCTAGTGCAAAGCTCAGTTTGACTCGCGGAGACCCTATGGGCAAATATCGAAAGATAGGTTACCGGACGTTGGATGCAACATCTACCACAGATGTCGATTGTTCAAGAGATAAGAATTGCGATGCTACGAATTATTACTTGCGGATCGATCACCTCTCACCAGATGGAAACGTGATCTTCTGCCGCTTTTCCTTTACAGCTTCTCTTTCTCCTCAGGGTACAGTACATCTGGTAATTTGCTGGCTTGCTTGCGTCTGATTCTTTACTTTCTCACTGTGGTCTCTTTTAGCTTCAATTCGAAGGATGTTGCCGTCTCGATCGATACACATACGAGAACCTGAATCTGGCTGCATCGACGTCCAAATCCAATTTTGAAATCTCCGCGACAGTGATAACTGACGGGGTTGCTCCTCTCCAGACAAGATCACCTCAAATCAGTTCGCCATACCTTGTGGAGCTGACATCGACAACACCTATCTGCACTCCTCCCTCGTTTCCGATACAAGCCTTTCATCCTCTTGATCAGTACAAGGACAGCTTAGGTAATGTGTTCATTCACCGCTTCAAATCCTATTGATTTTTCCCTGCTTGCTTTGACAGCTTACACAAATTTTTTCTCTACTGCAAAGTTTGTATTGGATGCGAGCGGAAATTTACAATTTACTTCTTGCGAGTCCAATCCAGGCGATTTGTGGTGGGTCGCCAAAATAGAAGTGATGAGTGCAGCATCTTGTGGAGCAACTCCAGCAAACAAAGACAGATGCTCTAGTGCGATCATCGACTTCTTGATCCATGTCCAAGTGCTGCCAATTACTACCATGTACTCGTTGCCAGCCGTCGCAAACCCTGACTCCTTCTTGAGCCCCCGGACTACCAGAAATCAATATTTTTCCATCCAATGCAATACGGAGGATTTTGAATTTTCCAGCGTCAAAACGAGAACGCTAAGGATTGGATTTCGAAACCCTGCTATGCCTTCATCGAACAATAGTCTTGATTGGATATTTCAAAACAACGATTTTCCCAGCATTGGTATCTCCCCTGTAAAATGGGCAAACAATTATGGATACGTTGACTTGACATGGAGACCGCATTGTGAAGATCCGTCGCAGGTTGGTCTTTTCTTACTTTGCTTCACTGCCCGAGCAGCTGGATACACCTCTGTACCAAGTTTCTCGTCGTGTATTTATGTCAAAAGTTTGCCTCCTTTACCGAATCCTCCCCCCCAGATTGTCTATCCGCTTCAGCAAACGTGTTCTGCAGACTGCGTCAGTTGTTGTGGAGAACTCAACTGCACAATACCGAACAACGCGACCTGTTGTAGAAGGGCGCATGCTATCCGCGGAGCCAGTTTCCAGATGGACGTCAAGGCAATCACTCAGGACTACGTGCAGAGAGTTGATGTGAACTTCTCTTTTCCTGAGGCAGTGCTGCCTGTGCCAACAACTATCCAGAAGAAATGGGGTTGTGGTGATGTCTCCTTCGATCAGTGTACCTCTAATCCTTCCATCTCCAACGATGTAATGACGAAAACCCTTTTATTTGCAAGTTGCTCGGTTCTGATGCAGATACCGGTCAGGTTACAGTGAGATTCAGTTACGCACAAGGCCAGGACTCTATGACAGGAATTTACAAGATTTGCTATCAAGCTGTGCAGGTTTGTTTGTACCCCTTGGGTGCTAATTGTTAACACAGTACGGTCTAGGTTTCAGATCCGCTTGTGAACAATGAGCTCTGGGCTAGATTCTATGGAGGAAGTTACACTCAGAACAGCTGCCTTGTCTGCATCGCGTTGAGGATAGAAAGCGAACCTTTCTTTGTTGAGACCACGCTCTTGCAGCAAGGCTCGACGGACAACTCAGTAACAATCCCTCTAGCAGTAAGTCAGATCTTGCCCTCGAGAAACCCTTTAGGAAATCATTACAGGTTGGGCGGACACTTCGAATCAATCTCCTAGCTGCATACAACATGGGAGGCTCAACTGCTAGCTTAGACATCTTCCCATTATCCGAACCGGGTCTTCCAAGCGGAGGGGTCCTGTCGGCAACCAAGGTGGTTCGTTTCTTCCATATTTCGTGTATAAATGGAGTTCACAGCAAGTCAACTTGACTGGATCTGCTGTTCCTACTGCGTTTCAGCGTTCTTTCGACTTCACCCCTCATGTACTGACCTTTGCCTGCTTTTTGGTGTTTTGATACTGTAACAGGTTGGGCAACAAGCTCAGACGTTCTCCGTGTGTTTTGCAGCCAAGAGAACCGACATTGCTCTACAGACTCCACTGAACAGATGTTATATCATACAAGTGTATGAGGCAACTGTGTTCTGGAAAGTAGAGAAGGTGCAATTCGCGCCTCAAAGATTTTCGAATGAAGTTTGATGAGCAGGTTGGAACCAGCAATGTGATTGAGCTCAGATACCTGCGAGATACTGTGACTGTCGGCTGTCCGGTATCATACTTTCTGTACGCCAAGAGTCAGTTCTACAACATAGAACTTGAGCCAGACTTCAACTCAACCTGCGACGGATGTGCTTTGAACGAGACATACGTGGTGCCTTCCTGCTCGAGCGATCCGAGCCTAACTTGCTGCGGCAATGGCAAGTGCGATGGGTTCGAGACAGGCATCAGTTGCCCAGTAGACTGCAAGAATGACAACTTCGATCTCAAGCAGTTGGTCTTGGGAAATTCAGCGAACGAATACACGAGCTCAATCCAGTTCTCGTGGACTCCAAAGGCGGATATGAGAGGGCGGAAAGTATACTCCTGTCTGAGGGCAAAGGACGCAGTGAGCGGAACAGGAGCAATTTTTCAGAAGCTCACTCCATCGATTGCTCCGTCTTTCTGCTTTGTTTTTGATGTGGAGAAATGCAGCTTCTGTCTGAGCGGAGGGGCGACGTTTGAGCGGATCACTCGCACATTTCTCTTCAATCACGACTGGCTGCTGTTGTACAACAACAACCCCAACATCCCAAATCCGGACTCAGTTCCAGCTGAGACACGGCTTGTCATCGGTCCCACCTACACCGTCAAGCGGGGAGACACAGTGATGAGCATCGCAGGTGCGAGCGGCTGGAAGTGTTTGCGCCTTGTAACTCATTTGCACAGCGTGGGCGAAAACAACGGTGAAAGGCATTCTAGACCACAACCCTGACATGGCAGATCCTAACTTCCTTCCCCCGGGCTCCACAGTGTGCCTGTCGGTTTGCAGTCAAGCGGCCTCATATCAATGGTAAGAGGGTGAAACGCAGTGAGATGTAGGGGTGGAACATCTCCGCAGGTGTAACTTTATTGTTTGAGTTTGCGGCATGTACATAGAGAGAGAGCTGGTTCAAACGCTGCTAGTCCTCCTTCTCCTTCTCCTTCTCCTTGCCCTCCAGCACCTCAGCGAAAGCATCGAAGAGAGCTCCTACGGGTATGGAGTACAATCCAATCCCTGCCACCACCAAGCAGCACGCCAGCACCTGTCCGAGGGGAGAAAAGTCAACCTGTCCCCACTCGCCGCTGAGGAAGATAGCTGTAAAGTAGAGCGAGGAAGGAATGTTGTCAAACGCTCCACCTAAAGCTGGGTTTCCACGATCGAGGAGGTAGAAGCCATAGGCGGAACCGACCCAGATGATTAGAGCGAGGAAAGACGTTGCAATGAGAGTGTCCTTGGAGGCGCGGAAGACGTCGTCGATCAGCGTGAAAGCCTCAGTGTAGTGCTCCCATTGCAGCACCCTGAGCAAGCGGAGGAAGCGAGGAAGCGCAAAGTCATACGAAATGCCACAAGCTGCCCAGTACCACTCGAGGTAGAAGGGAAGGAAAGCGAACATGTCAGCTGTCCCAAAGAAGGAGGTCAAGTAGCCCATCCGTGAGAACCTGAGCATAAATCAGCCTCTCCTTTCAAAGGATCAGACTCACCCGGCCCTCCGATCATAAGGAGCAGCAATCACTCGCAGGACATACAAGACCGTAAAGAGCATCCCGCATACTCCCTCCAGCGAAGCGAAGAAGCCGTCACCGATCTGAACTCTCATCGCCTAATCGATTGCTCAGTGACGCTCGATGATCAAAAACAGACGCACTGGATCAGACTCAAGGATGATCAAGACAACATCGAAGCCGATGAAATAAAGCATGAGGTTGTCGAACCAGACACCTGTGTCATCGTCCGGGGACAGCATGATCTGAATCTTGGAGGCGAAGGAGCCGTCATTGAGGTAAACAGGATCTTCAGCCTGAGCAAACAAAATCAGGGTAGCTATAAGGATGTACGATAATTCAACGAGCCATGGGTGGAGAGGGCGCAAACGAGTAAGTGAGCTTGACAAGCTTAAAGAAGCAAGAGATAGCAAGGAGAAGAATGAAGAAGAGTGGAGAGCGATAAATGGGACCTTGGCTTCTCTATTCTCCTGAGATTTCATTCCTCTTCGTTTTCTCTGCTCTTTGTAAGCTGTAGGCTCGACAAGCATGAAGAGGATTACCTCTTTGAGAGCCACGTCTGTGAAGCCATTTGCAATGATTCCCGAGGGGATGCTTACGATTCCCACAGCAAACAAGCACATGAGGAAGCAAAGAAATTTCCCCGCGAGTGTGTAGTCGATAAGGGGATAGTCTCCAGAAAGATGTATCAACGTGTAGGACATGGCAGAAGGGACATCCTTGTAGCGTTTTGCCTGCATGAAAGTCAGCAGGCAAAGTCAGAGGCTTGACGACCTCTCACCATTGTCACTCCATTTTCAGTGGGATCCAGCAAATTGTTCTTCTCCGTCATCCACATCAACGTGCTAAACATAAGCCAGAAAACTGTCGCCGCAAAGCCTGTAACAGCAAGAGGAAGCGAATTTTCACGAAAGACGTCGTCGATAAGCGTGATAGACGGGATGTACCTGCAGCAAAGACTAAGGAACTTATCGCACGCACACAAACACTCTCGTACTTGTCCATCTTCAGCAGTCGGAGCAGACGGAGCATTCGCAAGGCCTCGTCATATTTGTCCACAAGTCCTCCCGGAAACAGGAGCGACCAGTAGTATGGGGCAATGGTGAGAAAATCTGTAGAATTTCAGAGGGATATGCAGGAAAATGCATCAACCGATAATGGCATAGAAGGAAAAGATGAATCGCATTCTAGGAAACCTCTTGCTGGAAAACAATGGATCTAGAGGTGCTGAAATAAGACGAAGGATGTATTCAATCGTGAAAATGCAGACGGAAATCTGATCATCAAAAGAAAACATCAAATATCAAATATTAAATGTCAAAAATGAACAATCAAGTTCAAACCAGCTCGATATGATCTAACAGATGTTTATGCTCCTTGCTGAAGTCTGGCAATGTTTCCATAGACTTTGAAGAAATAAATGGTCACAAAACACCAAAGAGATCAGAAAAAGAGAGCAAAAAGATGCATACCTGTTGGAAGACAGTGGCGAAAATAAGGTAGAAGAGAATCTGTTCAAAAATGCTTCCTAGCAATGTTCTCCCTTCTACAAATTGCCGAATAGGGAAAAGAAAGCTTTCTTCTTGGCTATGAGACTCTTGCTGCTGGCTGGCATCCTCGTCTTTCTTAGAGTATCTCTCTGTCGCCCACTCTTCGAAGCCGTTTCCAAGTATGCCTATGGGGATGGCAAACGTTCCAACAGCCAGCACTCCCATCACTCCAGATATGACTTTGCCAAGGGGCGAGTAATCGCAGAGCGGGACCTCACCACACAAATTGAGCAGCGTTGGCCACATGGCATCGGGGATAGAGGCATAGTAGTGCTTCCCGTCCGGCGCCACCAACTTGGGGTTGTTGCGCTCTAGCAGATACATGACAGAGGAGAAGAATATCCACAATACTGTTGCTGCAAAGCCGCTGACCGCCAACACATCTCGGTTGTTGAGAAGAATATCGTCGAAGATGGTGAAGACTTTCACATAAGATTCTAGCTTGAGCATCCGGAGGAGTCGGAGAGATCTGACGAACGAGATGTTCACCTCGAAGGGCCAGAGGTCAAACGTTGAGAGAAAGAATGGAAGAATAGCTGAAAGATCCACGATAGAGTAGAACGTTCCAAAGTACTTGATTCGCCCAAAGAAGCCGCTGTAATCGGGACGAACACCGACAGCATAGAATCTCAAGAAATAGTCCAGAGTGAAGACAATCACTGACACGTCTTCAATTCTATCAAACCATTTCATCAAACTTTCATACCGATGCATGTATTGCATCGAGTCCATCACAAAACCAAGAACATTGCACAAGATTACCACGATCATCGCCTTCTCATACATTCGCCCTGCATCGGTATAACCATAGAGAAATCTGAAAGCCTCAGATTGAATATCTCCGCACAACATTGGTTCAGAAACTATTTCAGTTTCATCATTCTTTTCCTGCTTCTTTTTCTTAGCCGCATGCTCCTCAAAGCCGTTTCCAAATATGCCCGTAAAGATTCCAAAGACGGCGCATGCTATTGCGGAGGTGAACACTGCAATCACTTTTCCTAATGCGGACCTGTCGTTGACCAGAGGGAACTCTCCGAATAAGTTACAAAGGGTGAAATACGAAGAGCTTATAGTAGATTTAGTAATCTGATGAGCAACAAAAGATTTTCACCTGGCGATGCTTGTGAAACGTCCATCCATCGCTGGATTGTTTCTTTCCGCCATCCAGTTTGCCCCTGACAAGATGATCCATACCTTTGAAGACTTTAAACAAAAGCAGAAAAACATTTGATTGCATGCTCACAGCTGATCCTACAAATCCTGATTTGAATATCAAGACCTTATTTTCGCGATAGATATCGTCAAAAACTGTGAACGCCTCCAGGTACCTTTCACCAAATCAATTTTTGGTGTCTTTCGTTTTGCAAACAGAAATCAGAATTGAAAGGAGTTGGTGAGACCTTCCTTCTAGACGCATCACTCGGAAGAGACGAAAGATCCTCAGAAACTGAGATGCTGGCAAGTCGATGTAAACCCCTTCGCCTTTGCAAGCAGCCTGATAACGAAGGTAACTGAGCGACTATCAGGATTGTACTCATACTCTTGTAATATACAGCGAGTAAAGCTGCAATTGAAGAATCAATGACTGTAACAGATACAAATGATCGTTAAAATTTAGAATCTTGCCTCGAAGTAGTAAGGAAGAATGCTTCCAAGGTCAACGAGGGAGTAGAAGGAGAAAGTCCAGCGCCTAGTGTTTGCATCAGCTCAGATACCATGGTGACCTTGTAATCTCACAATCGTGTCATGAAGACATCAGTTTTTCCACTGCATTGAAACTTAAGACACAAAGAACAAAAGAATTTGTTCCTCCTTGCCTTTTCACATGAGTCATAAGGTGTTCAGGATCATCGGCGGAGCTCCACCACCGCAACGCATATTCAACAGTGAAGAAGAAGACCTGTTTGTGGAGAGGTCAGCTCATGGATCGATCATACTATAGACTAGTGTTACTGACCGAAAAGGTTTCTAACGAATCAAAGAAATGATACACACTGGGTTCAAATCCTTCAACCTGCACGAAGGATCACATGTTTGCTTGCTTAAAGACCAATAACAAATATCATGTCGATCTTCTCGCATATTGGCTCAGCCATATAGTTTTTTTCATCATTGTTGAAGCTTTATCTGTGCTGCACTAGGACATAGCAAGAGATTTTTATTTTACCGAGTCAAGTATGAAGCACACAACGTTCAGAGTGATCAGCAAAATCGAAGGTACGACCTGTTTCAGAAAAATCAACAAGCAGATGCACTTTGATGGACATCAGCTCACAAAATATATTCCGTATTCATCTTTGGCATCCAGGAACTGATGAACACTGAAATATGCAGCATTAGAGCAATGAACATGAAAAATCATGACAACGGGTCCACTAAGGTCTAAACCAGGGGTCTCAGAAATGATTTCGAGTGAATCGTTTGAGATCACGAAAAATCAAATGAACAAACTAAAAGAAACTGGTAAACCAAAGAAATTGGTTCAGGATTGAAAAATCAATACCCACTGCACAAAGGTACGAATCCTTCACTGATGGGGCATAAGGGGCATAGCAATGGCAACACACAATGTTGCTTCTTCTCATTCGTTTTAAATCTCCAGAAGTCGATAAGAAATCTTTGAACACGAACCAAAAAGTGGACAAGATACTTAAGGAGGAAATCAGAAAACAAGGAACAAGCTCACCGATGCCGAAAGGATGCCATGACGTTCTGACAGAGGTCGTAAAAATCATTAGTCAACCATTTACCATTGGTAGTAGCAGTCGGTCAGAAGAGCAGTAATAGTACAGTAGTTAGACAATGATATTACGCAACAGATGAGGCATATCCAGGGTTTAGAGGGTTTAGGGTTTAGGGTTAATCGAATCAACCTCCACCTCACTGGCCAGAATCTATTTAACCCAAGATCCACCAAAGACTAAACCAACACTTCCTTTATTCACAGCAGTCACCTTCCCTTCAGTCCCTTGCAACCAAGTACAATGCACAGCGCGCAGTGGACACGTGTCCTCCTAACCCCCTCTTCTCCGCCTGACCCTCAGGCTCGTCGATTCCTTAATTCCAGACCTATGTCGAAACCCACTTCCATCTCGCTGAGCTTCGTCCACCAATGAGACGCAATACCCTGAACTTCTCGCCGTCTCCAAGAACTTATCCGAGTTCTTACACCCTCCCTGACGAAGTTAAGCGAGATTCTCAGCTCACCCTTTTCCAACATCATCTCCAAGCTGTTGCCCCCTTCCCTGGTCCTCCTTGCATCCTTGATCACCCCCTTCCAGCTCCATGCTCCTTCCTTCATCCTCATCTCATCCTCCGACCTGAAAATCCCTTCCAGCATCCTTCCAGCATCCCCATCTCATCCTCCAACCTGCATGCTCCCAGGCTGCATCCCAATCACCTCCTCCAAGCTCCAAGCTGCTTCCTGCACCCAGCTTCTCCTCCAAGCTCCAACCTGCTTCCTGCACCTAGCTCCTCCTCCAAGCTTCAACCTGCTTCCTGCACCCAGCTCCTCCGCCAAGCTCCAATCTGCTTCCTGCACCCAGCTCCTCCGCCAAGCTCCAACCTTCTTCCTGCACCTAGCTTCTCCCCCAAGCTCCCACCTGCTTCCTTCACCTCGCTCCATCCCTCTTTTACCTACACATCCTCCTTCATAGAAACCTCATCAGTAACATCAACACTCCTCCACCACCTGAACTTGAATGTGCGCACTGCACTTGTTCATCAGGCTCCCCCTCTGATCAGTCAGACTCCCCTGACACCTTTCTGATCATCCTGTCATCCTCCCCATCATTGTATTTCAAATCCCACTGTTTTCAATTGTCATCCATCTGACTTTCTCCATCCAAATTTTTCAACCCAATGATGTCCATCAATCATGACCAATGTTTTGTCCTAACTAACCTGCTCTACGGGCCCATCTAAAATCTCTATCTAACCGCGGTATGAAAGATCGATTTGGCGCCATTTTCACCTGAGAGCTCTTGATAAAAATCATTTGCATGCATTGTTCTTTTCGACCTCATGATCTTTCATTTGCCTTTCCCATCAATCATTTCTTTTGAATCATTTTTCGATTTCTCAATTTCTCAATTTCTCAACGGCCGATTAAATTTCGATTTCATTTCTGACGATCATGGGTCTTGTATTTGATCATGATGGAGGCGTCACCTAACCTGTTTGACTGAACCCAGAGTTTCCTTGAACAGTCTTCGGGAGAGCAAGCTTCATACCACGCCCAGCCAATCATCTGATTCTACTTCTCCATAGCAAACCTTCCTTCCAAGGTTCTCCCTCCCTGAATCAGAGATTGGTGTAGGCGTTTGCTCAATGGCACAAGCTGTACGAAGAACCTCATTGTGTACAAGCTGGGATAAATCCCACTGAAGTTCCAAGTTGCTCCCAAAGCGCTGTCTCCAGGCCTTCATCAGCATCGCGTGCGTCTCGTGCATCACCGTCTTCGTGCTAGCAGCCATCACGATCGCCATCACCTGCGGATCTTGTTCCTTGCGCTCCATTACCGGCACCAGCATCAGCGACGTCTTCCCTACCCACTCTGAGCCCCCCAGGTCGATCCTGCGGTCCAGCCCCCTCACCTCCTCCGCGTGCTCGCACACCCAGGGCTCTCCGTCTCGCTTCCCTAGCATCCAACCATGTCTTCCCGTGCAGGAAAAGGTGATCATAGAGACCTCGTCCTTGGAAGCATCGGACGAGATGCAGTACAGCAGCGGCTCCGCTTCCTCCTCTTCCCTGTGCACCAGGGCGATCTGCCATGCAGCGTCAGGGCGTGGGCGAGCAGCTCGCGCCATGTGCCTGCGCGATCTGAGCATCGAAGGCAGACATCCAGAACCTCGGGTCCTCCACCTGGGCAGCAAAGGAAGTCACGGACGCTGGGAGGCCCTCCGCTGCTCCTACCACACATCCTTGTTGGAAGAGAGTGACAGCGTGAGAAGCGATGCGGAGGACGAGCGCCAGTTGATCCTGCTTGACGTACAGCTGCTCGTTGTGATGCATCACGTTCCCCAGCAGCACCGCAAGCCACTCGGTCGTCTCCACGTCTGACTCGGAGAACCTCTCCGCGTTGCTCCCGATCGTCAGCAGCTGGACAACCGCGTCAACGTCGACGACATCGATATCAACAACAATGTCATCAAAATCAACTTCTACAACATCAACGACAACAACAAGTTCATCAAGGTTGTCAGGGACTAACCGCGCATGGAGTCGTGGAGTTGTCAAGGATGGGGACACAGAGGACTTCAGAGCGCGAGTGCTCAGACCCTCCCACCTCCAGGTCGAACGGGCCCAACGAGCCGTCGATGGTCTCCTCGTCCTTGACCTTCACTCACAGGATCAGCCGTAAGCCTCGCCCAGCTGAGCCCCACCTGGACCAAGCTCTTCTTTCTCAGCGCCTCAGCCGCTATCCCACCCTCTCTGACGTCAACGAACTTAACGCGCCCGCCGTCGCCGTCGGGGAACTTGCGGCGGAACGTCAGGAAGGGCCCGGGACTCTCCGACTACCTCGAGGAACTCGTTGGTCTGGGCATCCACCCACGCTAGATGCGCCGCGTGAGCCCCGATGATGGCGGGAAGCTTGGCGGCGATCTTGAGCGACATGGCGTGTCGCTGCATGCCGATGGTCTGCCAAGACATAAGACTATGTCACGTGAGACGATCGCCACCTGGTTGACGAGGTACAAGATCTGCACCTTCTTGTCGTGATCCTCTGCATCGGGTCAGGTTCGGGGGCTCGAGTAACCTCGTTCTCACGCTTGGAGGCGACGGGCTTGTCGGCATGTCTTGCCAGCTCCAGCACGACTCGACTCACGGGTGATGCCATCTTCTCGCTCGGGGCCTCAGGCTCCCGGGCATGCTCGTTGCTCGAGCTCTCAGACGGTCGCGCATGGTCGTCGGGTTGGGTCTGCGAGATGCTTCAGTATCGCCACGAGCTTCTCGTCCTCGTTTGCTACCTTCGCTCCTCCTCTCATCGCCGCATGCCCCGCAGCTCTGACCTCACGGCGAGGAGAAGCTGACGCAGCAAGAGAGGAGCGGGGGGTAGGCTTCTTCCTCGCGCTGGAGGGCTGTGAGGGGGGCTTGGGGTTTAGGCCTCTCTCGGTAGGGAGTTGGAAGCAAGGTTGTCGCTCGGGAGCGAGTCGAGTCGCCTGAGGAAGAAGTGTTGACTGCCCGTGAGCGACGGCTCGTCCTACGGGGGATGACAGGGCCTGGTCCAAGTCTGTTTGGCAGCCTTGAGATTTCATCCTCTTCGCGTATCCCTCCACGCTCTCTCCTCCTTCCTCCCCCTCCCAGCCCTTGTCGCGCGGGCTCGCCTGAAGTTTTCGGCTTGAGGGCTGCAGGTCACAGGAAGTGAGTGGAGCAGGGGAGAGGCTCCGACGTGCTCGCCTGCCGCCTCTGCCTCGCCTTGCTCATCCTCAGCCGAGTAAAGATCTCACTCCACAGGGCCCATCGCTCCATGCCGATCGACCTGAGCTCCTCCCATCAAATGAAACAAGTCCTGCCCCTGCCCCTGCCCCTGTCCTTGCTCCTGTTCCTTCTCCTGCTGCTGCTCCTGTTCCTGCCCCTGCCCCTGCCCCTGCCCCTGCCCCTGCCCCTGCCCCTGCCCCTGCCCCTGCCCCTACCCCTGTCCTTGCTCCTGCTGCTCCTGCTGCTCCTGCTGCTGCTCCTGCTGCTGCTGCTCCTGCTGCTGCTCCTGCTACTCACTTTTCTACAAGCAAAACGAAATCTTCGAGCTCGATATCTCCTATCAGCAGCGCCTCCACCTGAGAGTAAGGGAATGAATGGCAAGGAGGTACAAGGACGTCGGAGTACTCGCAGAAAGGCATGCGACTTGTGGAACTCCGGGTCTGCAGCGCGTCAGAGCGACGAGGCTGAGGAGCTTGAGCTCACTGAGATCTCCTGCGTGAAGTCGGGGCGATCTCAAGGCGTCTACAGGGAAGGCGTCAGCACAGAGTCGCAAGGAGGAACGAGCTGCCGCACAAGAGTTCGACTCGGAGGAGAGCCTGACGGAGGGAGGGAGGCGGGAGAGGAAACCAGGTCTCGCTTCCACCACATTCTTGTTCAGCTTGTGGTACATGACGTTCTCCCTCTCACCGCACCGCCTCCTCCTCCTCTCTCCCTCCTCCCCTTCGCCTGCTGCTAGCCATGGTGTTAGCAACGGACCGAAAAACGGTCAATGGCGGGGCGGGCCCGGGCAGGATCAAGTGGTTGGGAAAGAGAAGAGAGACGTTATCAGCTTATGTTAGAGTCAACAACAACGCTATGCGACTTCTGACATACACTTGTTGCAACCACACATACATGTCAATATGATGGGCCCCTTGCTTCTTACATACACCAGTCACGGCAGTCTCTACAACTACAGTCAGCACACAGTTGCGACAGAAATCATACTGCTTTGATTCTGTTAAAAAAGCTTTTCCCCCCATATCCTGCAACTGCGCCTCCCATGGCTGACTCCATTCCTCTGAACCAGCATGAACTCCACCCCTCGCGTAAAGTATGTCCAGATGCTCACTGAACGCCACTGATCTCAGCGTCATCATTCCAACAAACTCCTTGAGTTTTGAAATCTTCTCCAAAAAGAAAAGATCCAACTGCCTTCCACCTCGTTAACGGTAGAATCTTTGTAAACAAGTCTGCTGGCTGATATTTGGTAGACACTTTGACAGGAAGTAGCTCGCCCTCATCCACCATAAGCACCGCAAACTTGGCACGTAAGGCGATGTGTTTCAGTCTAGAATAAGCTCGTTTCTCGGTCAACAAACGAATACACGGCTCGTTATCCAGCAAGAGCAATGTCGGACGTTGCTGGCAAAAACCCAACTGTTGAAGTAAGCTGCGGTACATCTTGATATGCTTGGCAGCTACCGACGTCGCATAGATTTCTGCCTCTGACGATGAAAGTGATATGACTTTCTGTGCTTTCGAACCGTAAGAAATGACCCCTCCGTTCATCACGATAGCCCAACCTGATTGACTTCGGCGCGTCAGGACATCCGTCCCCCAGTCACTATCACTCGCAGCTACGAGTTCATTGTGAAACACCTCCTGATTGACAGATACACCTAGAATCCCTTCGGCTTACCCCCTTCTTTTTCTTCTTGCCAGAAGCACTCACTGGATTGCCGGAATCACCGTCATCAACGGGACTACCATACTGATCCGACACCGTCTTGGACAAACTTTGCAACTGCTCCACATAATCTCGAATCTGCCCGCTCTTCCTCCAACAAAATTTGGCATTCAGGAAAAGCAAAACGACCTGCCTTTTCCATTCCTCCGTCAACTCGCCATCCACATTCACACTCTTGTTCTTTTCCCATACAGTATGAAACTCACCACCAAAATTACCGAGTTGATCGAGTGGAAACTCTCGTATCAACGGGCCCAAACACAAGCCCAATCCTGTCCGATATCGATTCATTGCATTCTGAATCGGAAGCAGAAGTTCATCCAATTCCTCCTGTGACGTCACAGGAGGAAGGGTTTAGGGTTTAGGGTTTAGAGCGCCGGTTATTTCAGGCAAGCGCCGGTTATTTCAGGCGCAGCGCCGGTTATTTCAGGCACCATGGAGCGCCGGTTATTTCAGGCACCATAGAGCGCCGGTTATTTCAGGCACCATGGCTGCACGCGTGGTGTAGGGGAAGCTGCCAGGGCGCCAAGGAAGCTGCAAGCGAGAGGTTTGTATACTTCAAATAGCTTTCTAAGTATGGTTCTTCAGTATGATGAAAATGTTCGCAACCTGCTGTATCGGAGATCATGCCAATACACGCAGAGCGGACTTGTGGATGCCTCTGTCCTCGAAGCTGATCTCGTCGAGAGGGTGAAGAGCTTCGCGAAGCGTTATCCGAACAGCAGGACAGCCCAGGCTTGCAAGGCTGTGGAGGGATGCACCCCCGACGCTATCGCAGAAGCCATCCGCTCGACATGTCAGCAGGCACGACGTGAGCTTCTGCAAGAAGCGATGACTGGATGGAGTGACGCATCCAGAGAGTGGTTTATGCAGCAGATTGAAGAAGCCAAGAAGGAGAAGGTCGAGACATACACCGCCTCAGCAGGCAACGAGGTGACTTCCTTCATCTCCATGACTCTCCTGGGCATCTCCTCGGTGTATGTCAACCATGAAGAAAAGCTGAAGAAGAAATTTGAAGAGATCGGACTGATCGTAGACTCAGTGCAAGAGAGTAAAGCAATCATGTGGAAGGCTCCGTATAGACCCGAGATAGCGAGTGCTGAGGAGATCCCGGTGACTGTTTCCTTCCTGCGCAATGCACCAGCGGAGAAGCTCTGGCAGGGAAGAGAGGACTTCGCGATCGATGGTCGCAAGTTCACAGCTGTACATGTGAGCATCGTACACGATCGATCTTTCAAGATTCGAGCCAAGAGAGGACCCTGGGGCAAAGGGGGCAGCTTGGCAGAGCTGACTCACCTGCTAACCTTGGGCGGCATGACAACGGCTGAGATAGCTGCCGTCTATCGCTATCAGCTGCTGCGCCAGTCCCTTGCAGCGGTCCAACTCCAGCCGCTGGCAGGCATGCTGGTCGCTGGGGCGCCAGGACAGCAAGTCCACAAAGGCTTAGGTCAGAAAGGCTTCATCGCTGTAGGGGCCAACGTCATCTGGAGACAGAGGGAGGTGGAGTGGATCGTCTCCTCGAGCTGCCCAGAGGCGAATGATACAGCATTTCGAGCTTTCCGAGAGAGCGAAGCGATGGAGGGAGTACACCTGACTCTGTTCAGCGAGGACCCGAAGATCAGAGAGGCGCTCGCAGTCGAGTTGACAGCTGATCGCTTTGTGTCCAGAAATAAGTTGAAGAAGGCATCAAGGATGCAGAAGAAGGCAGGCGGCAAGGACGGCAAGGAGATCAAGATCATCATCAAGTCGACGGCGGCATCTGGTCGCTTCACGAGGAAGGAGATGGAGGGGCTGTGCAACGGCGGCAACACGTCTATCGCAAGAGTGTTGTATCCATGAGGATCCGGAACCTCGGATACTCGTCGGATACTCTGCCGGATATTCCCTATATAGGCGGACGCATCTCGTGCGGACGGCCTCCTGAATTTCCCCCACTTGCATGCACAGTGAGTGTGGGGGTTGTGCGTAGTTTACCTCCTAGTAAACTTAGAGACTTCTATTTCCTGCTTCTCAATCTTCTTCATCCTTACTTTACTCGTGTCGTTGACAATCTCTGTGTTGTGTATACAACATTCTGGAAGCGAAGTGGTTGATTCATGACCTCGAAACAAGGAAGAGGAGGAAAGAAACCTCAGCCGGAAAGGAGCCCTCAACCTCGATCTAAGCAATCAGGAGCATTTCAAACAGAAATTGCTGAAGAGAGTTCTGAGGAAGAAGTCGAATGGAGCGAGCGGCTGCAGCTGCAGCAGCAGCAGCTTTCTCCGAGTCAGACCAGTGGATCTTTGACTCAACCTTATAGGGATGGAGATGTACAACGTGAAGCGCTGTCTAGCGCGGATCAACGGGCCCGAAACAAGAGGGATACTCCCTTGCGAAGTATTCTGCGATCAGAGGAGGCAACTCAGCGAGCAGCCTCCCCTGCAACATCGGTACGTCTGCCAAGCTCGGAAAATTTTTCATCCGACCCCGTCATGTCCTCGCCAGTGGCGCAGGACCGAGCTCTTCTCCTTCTTCGTCGAATGTGTGCCCTCCTGGCTGACACCATGCAGGACGAGCGTTTCCACATGCTCGCCAATGCTGCCGACCGCATCTCGCACGGAAAGTTACCCTGCAAGATGCTAATGCTGATATCTATTCAGCTGAGGAATCAGCTAGCGCTGAATCCTCTGATCAGGAACCAGTCCTCTCCAATCGGACTCTCGTGAATGTGCTAACGAACTCCAAGAGTTTCAATTCCAGCCGCATTCCGATGTACAAAGGTTTTGCTGATCCCCGCTCTGTCGAAGAATTCCTTCGTCAGTGCAACCGCGAATTAATCGCTCAAGAGATCCCAACTCG